ATATGTAAACACGATTTTAATGTGCATAAAATACTAAAAGAAATGGGTAACATATTTAAAAAAACGAGTTCCTTCTGTACTCGTTAACAATAATATCAAAATTATTGTAAATGAGCACGAAATAAAAAAAAGAATGGCAACTGTATATATATATATATATCATAGTTGTTTGAATATGACAGGAATAATATTGCCGAATTATACCAAAACTGTACTGACGGCCTAGAAATTATGAAATGCGAGTTAGAACACGTTATAAATAATGCTAAAATTATAAACGCTGATGGTCCAGATGATACACCAACTGAGTTGATGGAACTAATAGAGGATGATAACATAAAACTAGTAGTAAGACTTTTTAATTCAATATATCACACCGGAGTCATTCCCGCAGATTGGCTCAAATCCATCTTTGTCACAATACCTAAAAACACAATGCGAGAAAATGCTCAGAATATCGATTAATTAGCCTAATGAGCCACACTCTTAAAATTTTCCTGAGAACCTGAGAAGAAACTAAAATGTTCCTTCACAACAGAATTAGACGCAAATGCGAAAAAGATCTCGAAAATACCCAATTTGATTTTAGAAATGTTATGGGAACCAGGGAGAAACTTTTTGCGCTTAAAATCCTATTAGAAAAATGTCGTGACCAAAGAAAAGATGCATGTGCATATTTCGTGGACTTGAGAGAGAAAACTTTCGTGGACTTTCGTGGAGAAAAGTCATTCGATAAAGTATCGGAATAGATGACAAGGATATTCGTGTCATTAAAAATTTGTACTTGGATCAAACTGCTATCGTAAAAATTGGAGATAACCACACCGATGAAATCTCCATACAAGGAGGAGTCAGACAAGGTTGCATTTTGTCGCCATGCAACACTGTTCAATGTTTACTCGGACCAGTTATTTAAAAGGAAACTTGAGAGACAACCATATGGAATAAAAATCAACGGGGACCTATTTAATGTGATTCTGTCAGATAATATTGAAGGTCTATAAATTCTGCTTGATCGTATTCAGGCGGTAGGAGAGGAAATAAAATAAACTCAAGCAAAACCAAATTTTTAGTGTTTAATCGTGACCCACATCCCCATGTAAAGCTTCAATTAAACGGAGTCCAAGTTGAGAAAGTTCACAAAATTACATATTTGGGAACTCTGTTAACGGACCAAGTAGATCCAGACATAGAAATAAAACATAGAATAGCAATGACTAAAACTACTTTTATGAAAATGAAGTCATTTCTTTGCAATAATCATCTCAGTTTAGAACTAAGACAAAGAATGGTTAAGTGCTATGTTTGGTCCGTACTTTTGTATAGTGCAGAAGCGTGGACGATAAAAGTATCGATCATGAACAAAATTGAAGCATTGGAAATGTGGGTTCTTAGACGAATGCTGAAGATATCTTGGACAGCAAGGAAAACTAATGAAGAAGTACTAAGGAGCGTTAACAAAGATAGAGAACTGCTAAAGCCTGTTAAACATCGAAAAATGTCTTATCTGGAATATCTAGTTAGGGGAAGTCGATATAAAATATTAAAACTGATCCTTAAAGGAAAAATCGAGGGCTATAGAGGTGTAGGAAGAAAACAAGTTTCTTGGTTAAAAAACATTCATGAATTAACTCAGATATCAAATGCAGGACAATTATTCCATATTGCAGAAGATCGAGAAACCAATGGTGATCGCCAACGTCGGATAAATCTAATATGTCACGCGAAGAAGAAGAATGCGAGTTGTATCTATTAAACATTCCGTTTTTTGTAAATTTTGATTTGTCAATAGTCTGCTTCTTTTAAACCGCACTAGTAACCATGCGGATTACTCCAATGCTGCTAAAATCCAATTGGCGGTATTCTAGTTTTGCTATGGCCAATGTTTACGTGTTGGACTCCAACACGTGCTTCCTCAACTGAATTAATGTTTCCCATACATCTAGGTAGGTGAGTCGGTCGTAAAGAGTGTCAATTGTATATCAAGGCAACTATTTTAAATTAAGAGCAACTCTTTGAGGAACGGGGAATTTTGAAAGACGTGGCTACAAGTGAAAAAATTGCTGAGTGCAACAGGAAAGAAAAAATAGTGAGGATTGATGGCTTGAAGTTTTTAAGTGTGTAGATCAAATTTAAACTGAAATACTTACAAATATGCAAATGTATTTTTTGTCTTCCGGGTACTAGTGCAGCTATCGAGCGTTTATTTTCTATAATAAATAATTATTGGACGTCGGAAAATTTACAAATGTCCATTTCTACTCTTAAGGCAGCGGTGCAGGTGTATGTAAATTTTGATGAGACTTATAATGAAATGTTTCCTTTGCTTCAGTCGAAGCCGGGGGCGTGCATGATTTGGACGCTAAATTTAAAATTCGACACTGAAAAATAAAATTACCTGTTTCTGCATACATGATTTGGACGCTGGGTGTAATTGAAATGTAAATGGAAAGTCAGGTAATAAAATTGTAGAGATTAAGCTTGATAAGGTTTATTTGTCACCCTGAAATAAATACGACATACATTTTACGAAATGGAATCGATCGATACAGTTAGTTTGATACTCATATATCCTATTTCTAACGAACATAATTTTTTTTCTACTCTTTGGATCTTTAAGTCTATTACTTTCACTATTACAGACACTATTAATTTTAATGTAAGTTTCAGTTTGAAAATTTTTTAAAACATCAATAAAATGAAAAATATTTGGATGAGCATGGTAAAAATTATCATTAAAACGCGAATGGAACGATTCACAAGCATTAGTTGTTAATTTTAAACTCTCACTGATCGCAGCCCACATCTCCGACGGAAATGTTGCGTGGTCGCCAAGGTAGTTGTCCAATAAGTAGTCGGAAAACTTTTCAATCTTTGAATCCTTTGGTTGAATAGCCATAAAATCATATATGAAAGATTCTTCGACTTCTAAGGGAGGTAAAAATGGCAGCCCAAAAATATATTTCAGCCATTTAGATATTTCACTGTCTGCCAATTTATATTCCAGAATTAAGCCGAAACCACCGATATTACGATACCAAGCTTGCATAAAATGAAAAAGGCACACTTTAATGTGCACATTTGGAAATTCAAAACGCGCAGCATTGTGGATAGCAATTTCAAAATCGGAGAAAATGAATTTTGGACTGAATTTTAGACCAATTAATTCACATTTGCGTTTCAAAACATTAAATAGTTTTATATAGGTTTGTTCCGATTTGTCGGGAAGTAAACAATAACACAATGGTATATAATGTCCATTGATAAATACATGTATGGTAAAAAATTGCTTGAAATATTGAGCACAGTAACTAAATGTACCGTTAATATAAATAGTTTCACTGCCGCACAGAAAACGCATGTTAGTGTTATAACACGAGAAGATGATAATGTTAGAACTTAGTTCAACCGCAAATATAAAATTCTCGTCTTTAAGTGTTTTGATATTCATAATATTTACCGCAGCAATTCGCTCCGAGGGTTAACAAAGTGTCAAAGCAAAATCGACTGACCTGCTCATGGTGGCAATTGCTTGAAATTTTATCAGGACGCTTTTGTGCATGGTACAATGAACATATTCATTGTACCATGGATGTTGATCATTGGTTGATCATGTATATATAACCTCACTTTCGTAGATTATGTTAATAAATCTTTATTAAGGACAAAAATATTTTTGTTGAACTATAAATGTCACAATAAATAGATTAGGTACTAATTAATTCTGAAAATTGTATCCGGAAGTTAACACTACAAAATAAAATATTTAAGTTTAACAAAATAATCCCATAAGACTCAATACTAAAACGTCCTCACAAATCTGACAGCGTGTCACGTGACTGTAAATAGAGGGGAGACCCACGGAGCGACTAGTTTTTTCTTTACTTTTGGGCAGTTTCGGTTGAGCCATTCGCCGTTGTATGATTTTGGACGGCCTTTCGGTCAAATTATCCTTAGCCTTCCTTTTGGCACTGCTACGCACAATCTTTCTATTAAGCGTCTTGATATCACACTCGTGATTATGTTCTAGATTACTTCGGATCACTAACTTTTCTGGCCCTTTCGTGAATATCTTCGCTTTACACGACCGTTTTACGCACCTCCAATACGTTTCTCCCGATTTTAGTACTTTATCTTGAGAAAAAGTAAAACTGTTCACTTTGAGCAAAATTTTACCACGATTACTTACTAACGTTGAAATTTCCATGTTCACTTTTCACTATTCTCTGACAAACTAATAACTAGTAACTAAGTAAATTTCAATGACCATCATTACACCCTAATTATATCTAATATATGGTACCTGCGATAATCCTTCCGGCAGCGTCCAAAACAAGGGTACTTTTAAGACCCTCAGGTACTTCAGCGACGAAAACATGCCCGCCCGAAGCCGGACATTCTTAAATTAATTTTAAATTTCGAGAAATGGTACAAAAACCCGGAAGAAGATGGGGCTATTCCAGGTCCCTCATCTAAAAACTCTTAATTACAGGATTTTTACCTTTTTAAAGTTAATATAATGTTTAGTTTAATTGATATATTTTTTTGTTTAACGTTTAGCATAGTTTATTCTTTATTGTCAATGCCAAAAAGTTATAATTGTCCAATAAAAAGATTCATTTTGTGGTTTTACTACATTTTTGTATTTTTGTACTTTTTTTCAAAACATATAATATGGTCACCGTATATATAGATAGTGTAAGCTTGTCTTGACACACCCTGTAGAACAAACTACAATTATTATTAATGACAAACGAACGATGAAATTCACAAGAGATAACAGCCAAGAAGAAAGTGAATAATCATGACCATTATAGAATAAATAATGAAATAATGCATACACTATTTGGTTATGAAATTAATTTTACCTAAAATAAAATAAATTTAAAATGTACCTAGAGAGTTTAATAATGTGAGTTTTACAAGCGTATATAGCAATAAAAGGCGAAGAAAATGTTATTATGTCAAGAATCACTTTATTATTTACAAAATAAACATACCTGGCACCCAGTTTCCTCTCTCAAAAGCGAACTTCTGGTCCCCCAGATCCAAATGCACTCTCGTCTCTGTCAAATTAATAGGAACATTTTCAGCATTGGCTTTTCTCGTAGGAATTTTCTTTGGTGAAAATTTACTTCCAAATATTGGCATTTCTGTGCCTCTACTACCGAATTGAATTTATTTGTGTGTCAACAATGACGGTTTATTACTAACCCTGGCTGGAGCTAGGTATTTTCTGCATCTGTTATTATCGATTGTCGTCAATCACCATGGCAACGGAATGAAAATCCAGGAATGGACTGGCGCGTATTACAGGAAGATGTATTGACGTTATACGACTACAACCCTTAAATACTCCTGCATTTGGAACTTTGTAGGTCGAATGCAGTTATTTTAATACTTAAAGATCACAATTAAAATAATTTAGAGATTCATTCTAAATTTTTTTCTCGGGAAAAATTGTCGAAAGAAATTCATAGAAGAAAAATACAAAAGTTCCACTGGATCTTTGCAAATTGTCATAATTCGTATTGTAAGAAATAAACCAAAATATGTGAGCCAAACTTCCGTCGGTTATACGAATTAGAAAATGGCTAATATTACAATTGGCGTTTTTATACTAATCTTTTATTTTATGTAAATTACGGTTATTTCGAAAAGGCCACTGCTTCAGAGATGTTAATTTTACAGGAAACGAAAAAAAAACGTTTCATTTTGGTATTAATGAAGATATCTTTCTCTTTTCAGATTCATTTTCAGAAGTTTCTTTCTTTGGAAGAAGAAATTTCAACTTCAGAAATTTCATTAACAAATCCAACATAAAAAAGACAGGTACACTGTAAAAAATAATTTAGTTTTTGGAGTTGTGGCCTTTACCAAACAAACATTGAATGATTTTATGAATAATAATAGAAAACTCCAATATTATTATAGAAGTAATTTATTAGATGGCAAAAAAACATGTTGAAGGTTAAGAAATAGTCTTTTAGTAATCTTCCTCTACTTCCCCTACCACTATTAGTGGTAGGCCATAAAATCAGCTCATTATAAAAAAGCATTTTGTCTTATGGCACATATTGAACAAGTTTCTTGATGTCCATTTTTTTCGAATTGATAGAGATTTTTTCTGTGTAAGCACACTCTGTTAGCAAACTAGGACAAACTCTAGCTGGTTTTCCCAAGGAAAATTCAGGAAACATAAGCCCATCGATAAATTGACGTACTTTACCAACTCCCGGTTTTTTTGTTGTCATATTCGAACTTTATAATTCGAACATTATATTATATTGAGAAATTTGAAAAGTTGTTTTCTCATGTTTAACATTTTCCCCATAGGAATCAATGAAGAGTACGGTTTTCTTATAATGAATGGGCCACCATTTTTTGAATTCCAAAATTGTTTCATTTTTTATCAGTTCTATAGAAAAAGAGATTTTCTTGACGATTTCTTTATCAATTCGTAATATTCTTCAGGAAGAAAAATTCAGTCCTGCTTCCGAATGAGTCTTTTTGCTACCCCGAAGTTTCTATCGCACGGGAGTAATGAGTGGCCTCTGATTGGAAAATAATAAAAAATTTGATTGAATTTTCCTGACGAAGCAAGAGCTAGAAGGAATCTTATTACCGTAAATCTTTTACATTTTCAGAAACCTCATTTTCAAAATAATTTTTCAGCAAGGTGCACACTTCATTGTGTCCTTTGTGGGCCTCGCCCTCGTGATAGGAAAAAAATTAGCTTTTATTTTTAAGTTGTGTATACTGAATTCAAAAACCCATAACTGCCGATAATAAAGATTTCCTGTACAGGCATGTCAGCTATCGGCAAATTTTGCATATAATCCATGGATATTTCTAGTATCTCGTCCATCTCTGAAGAAAGTTTTTTAATCTGCTCTATGTGTTTATTCATTTGTTTGACATCCAAAGTAGCAGGTAAATACTTTTTTAATATATTAACATAATAAACTTCCTATACATTAAACGATTGTATGTGCTCACGTATTTGAAAGCACAATTCATCTGGTATTAAATTATGCCTAGATTTAACAGATTTACCTCTATAATCTCTTGGAGTGGATCTAGTCACTAGTAGGTGGCATTCTTACGTCAACTCACATAAAATTAACACTTCGAAAAAATCAGACAGGCTTGGGTGAGGTTATGTTATGTCTATGAGCAGCTCCTAATATCTACGCTGCTATGATTAATTGAATTTTATTTATTTTATTATTGAGTTAATGCCTCGACAACTAAGATCATTCGCATGGTACAGTCAGGTACCTAGTGTAGTGTGTGTGTGTAGAGTAATTGTCTTGATACTTAGCAAAGTCGACGTCATTGTCTTTGCTAACAGACGCTAATTGTATCCACGTCTGCGGTCCCTCCGGTGAGTACCGATCGCACAAGGATAGAAATTATTTTCATTCATTAATTTTTAATAAACGAAAATTTCTCCACCCAGATAATATTCGAACTCACGACCTTTAGGTTTAAACGTAGGCGCTCTTACCACTGAGCCACAGAGGGAGTTAATTAATTGAATTATATGTAACCGTTTTATAAGTAAATAAATAGTTATGTTTTGTTAGTCTGTGCTTCATTAAATACACAACACCTATTGCCGATAATCTTTCTTTGTCACTTATTGCGTTGCAATATTACGTACTTTTCACTACGTACATTTATGTCTTACATCTCTTATACATCTACATAGCTCTTGTCTAAGGACTGCGTCATACGCCGTCTCAAGATCTTTATATACCAAACGTAGCTCTCTTTTCTCCTCGCCGTATTTCTGTATCAACTGTCTCAAAGTAAACAAGTCTTCCTTCCTGGCATAAACCCAAACTGTTTTTCTTCTGTCGATGTCTCTCTCCTTAACCTATACTGCAAAATTATTGCCTTATTGCAAAAAGAATTTGCAATAAGTCTAAAAATAGTTGGGTAACAAATGATATAATACACGAGGGAAATGATTTGAGAAGTCTTTTTTGGCTATCACATAATTCTAAAAACATAGATATTCATTTAAAATATAAAGAAAAAAAGAAACAATATGTCAAACTAATCAACGAAACAAAAAAGAGTTTCTTTGAAAATAGTTTGGAATGTAAGAATACTATACAGCAAAAGCAGAAGTTTATATGGCGTACGGTTAATAAAAAAATAGGTAAGACGGTAAAACATAATAATTATGATAAAATACAACTTGCTGATAAAATTATTACTAATAAATATGAGATGGCAAACGCTTTTGTAGAGCATTTTACTACTTGTCCTAAAAATAAAATCATAAATATTTTTAAAAATACCAATTTTGATCATTATACCACACAACATGTAGATAAATCTTTTTATTTTTTTCCTGTAGATGAGTATGATGTTAGAGAGGTTATTGGCTCCTTGAAAAATGTTACCTCGGTAGGTATTGATTGCATATCAACAAAATTAATAAAGTGTATCAGTGAATATATAGCGCAACCCCTTGCAAATTTAATAAATTTATCAGTAGAACAGGGTATTTTTTCCACATAGCTTGAAGGTAGGAGTTGTAACTCCAATATTCAAAAGTGGAGATAATTCAATTTTAGATAATTACAGGCCAGTTACGGTCCCTACTATTTTGGGTAAAATTTATGAAAAATGTGTATACAAAAGAATGTATAGTTTCCTTAGTAAATACAATATATTATGTTCCAACCAACACGGATTTCTACCTGGAAGATCAACAGAGAGTGCTACCACTGAATTGCTTAGTTTCATTCACATCGCACTGGACCGGGGAGATTTTGTGGGGGCACTTTTCTTTGATCTCTCAAAAGCATTTGATACCATAAACGTAAGAGTTGCTATAGAGAAGCTAAAAAATCTTGGTTTTAGGGGTCAGTTCGCATTATGGCTGTCATCTTATTTACATTCTAGGAAGATCCTCGTTAAACTTAGTGACACACGATCAGATTATGGTGATATTGATATTGGGGTTCCTCAGGGTTCAATATTGGGACCATTAATATTTCTATGCTACATTAATGATATGCCTAGATATGTCAGTTCAAATAACATATTTATGTATGCAGATGACACAACCGTTGCTACATCTGCTTCAAGTGCCGAGGAATTAACTGTTCAACTGAATGCTATATCAAAAGATTTTACAGAGTGGTGTAAAAAAATACTTTGATTGTTAATGCTAAAAAAAACCACAAGCATGCAATTCTACTACAGATGAAATTCAAGTTACCAGTTTTCTATAAAAGTGAATGATAGCCTGGTTCACTCTACAACTTCCACTAAACTTTTAGGTTTGTATCTTGATAGTAACATGAGCTGGGAATCTCAAATTAATCATGTTTGCAAAAGAATAAATAGTAGTTATTACGCAATATTGCAATTAAAAAGCTTTCTTAAAAAGGAACAGGTATTGAATGTTTATTATGCAATTGTTTATCCTCACTTAGCCTTCAATATAAATCTTTGGGGTAGTGCTGTGAATGCTGCAAGAGTGTTTGTCTCTCAGAAAAGGATATTTCGGTTAATTTTTGATTTACCATATAGGCATTCATGTCGACAATATTTTAAAGAATTTAACATTTTAACAGTACCTTCTATATATATTTTTAAATGTATACTACATGTAAAAGCCAATATAACTACTTTTAATTTAAACTCTGATTATCACCAGTACCCAACTAGGCAAAATGACCTCATCAGAGTACCAAAGCATAATACAGCACGGTTTGAAAAATCCCAGTATTATATGGGTATAAGACTTTTCAATCATCTTCCCAACAGTATTAAATCTGAAATGAATTTAAATAAATTTCGAAGTAAATTAAAATCTTTTTTGTTGCAAAATTGTTTCTACAGTGTAAATGAATATATGGGGAATGTAAATAATTAATTCTATGTATTTTTTATCCTTTTACTCTGAAATTGTGATGTTTTTATAATGTATTTATGTATATATTTTTTTTTTATTCGACTTATCCTATATCATGTAAATGATCTTTAAGGATGAATAAATTATTATTACTCTAGATGCAAAATTTTCATTGTGTGCGACGTTAACTTTATCTGCCTATAGTTCTTACAGTCCGAAATGTCCATTTTATCTTTATACAATATTACCATCACACACTCTCTCCATGAATTTGGCATCCTTTCTTCCTCATATATCATTTGCCACAAAATATCAATACCTTCCTCTCCTAGAGCGTTCCAAACCTCCATAGGTATTCCATCAGATCCTACTGCCTTACCATTCTTCATCCTTTTTAACGACTCGACAACCTCATCTCTCGCTATCCCTGGTATTACATTTTAATTTGAGATCCCGCATCCTTTGTCTCTCTTCTTGTGTTATTTATTTAGCAACTTTTGTACAATACTCATGCCATCTTTACTTTATTTTAACATCGGCTCTTAACACTCCTGAATCTGCACGCTAATGTTGCGCGAACTAATAGGGTTAACTTGGTATAGGTACCGAGTACCGGGACACTCAAGCGTAGAAAGGAACGAACAAGCTGACGAATTGGCATGACAGGGCTCGTTCACTCTGCCAGTGGGACCCGAACCTGTCGTTGGAGTGCTCTTCATTACTGGTCGAGGTAGTCTTAGAGAGCTTCTTCCGCCGAGGTTTAAGGATTCCTGGGCCAGTTGTGAAGGTATGAGATAGGTTAGCCTCCACATAGTGGGGTCATTTAAAAGTCTTACAGCCAACTTCTCCTTCTAGACCGTAGAAGGTGCTCTCTGGTGGTCAGTACGCTTACCGTCCACTGTTCTAGACTCAGGCGGCACCTTCATCTGTTTGGATTGGCGGATATCCCACGATGCCGCCTTTTAAGTGAGGAGGACAATAGCTCCTCACATGTTCCCTGGAAGTGCCCGGCACTGGCCTAACAGAGGTGGCAGACTCGGCGTTCGATCCTTATGCAACCGAGCCAAATGAGGGAGTTATCGTTAAAGAGGCTTTTGGCTTTCTGTGAAACCACAAGGTTTCTAAAGGATTAGACGTTCAGAACGGCAGGAAGGAGTCAGAGTTGAAGTCCCTGCTGATTACAGCAGATATGGGAGCCCGGAACAGCCTGGACCCCAGAAACGCCGAAGAATAGGTCCTTATGATAGGGTTGATATAATGGACCCGCCTTAGGAAGTCTAGGTATCTGAAGCGCTAATAAATTGGTCCTGATCCGATCTGCAGTTCTCTAATTAAGAGTGCTCCATTCGCAGTCTTAATCTGCCACACATGGGTCAAGTCATTTGATGATTTGTCCCTTACTTTAACAATGTAGTATAACCTTTTCATCCCCTCGGGTGTTTCCAACTCTTCATACAGCTGTGCAGACAATATTTTTTAACAGTAGTTACAGCGAGCTTTGCTTCCCTCTTTTATACCTTGTATATATACTTATCTTCCTCTCTTTTAGACTTTTCATACCTCTTTCTTCTCTCTAATCTTCTATCGCATTTTGTCTTCCCACCACTAAGTTTATTTGCCTCTAGGGGGGTCCTTTACCAGATGATTTTGCTAGCACTTCCTCTCCCACCCGCACCACAACTTTACTGTTGGCTTTCCACCAGTCATTATCTTTTTTTTTTCAAGCTCCTCTAGCACTCTACTCTTAAAGACTCTTGCCAAACCCTTATCCTTTAACTTCCACCAGTTTACTTTCTGATGTCTTACTTGCTTTCTTTTCCGCCTCACCTTTATCTCCTTATCCACTATCACCGGTCGGTGTTGACTAGCTACGCACTCACCCTTTATCACTTTACAGTTGGTAACCTCTGTTAGCTGATCTTTTATACACAGAATAAAATCTATCTGACTTGCACTTCTGCTGCTATCATACTCGTCTTCAGTCTTCATAAAGAACGTATTAATGACAACCAAATCCATGCCACTGCACAGGCAATAACACTATTTCCTTTATCGTTATTTCTGTAGTAATCTTTAAAACCATCCATTAATATGCCCAATAAAAACTAACCCTAATTAAACAAATCAGAATAAAAGTCAAATATTTTATTATTGATAAGATAATGTAACCTAAATTAAATACAACTCTATCAAACTAACTAAATAGCTAAGTATTCTTAAACCATTTTTGTTTTCAAACAAACAATGATAATAAACAAAACTGTACTTTCTATAAACCATAGAAATACCTAAATCTTTATCAGTTATTTCTATTTCAATATAACAACGTAGTTATGACGTCACCAGTAATTTTTTGAGGTTAACCATTAAGTCGAAGTATATTAGTGTCTCTTGAACGTGTACACATTTTGTATTAATTTTATTGTTGCCCTCAACAGAGTATGTCAAGTTGTCCTCACTTCTTTACAAATTGAAATAAACGCTCTACCCTCGAGCTGTTTCTTCTTCTAATGTCAACAGAAGAAATGGTATTTTCGTTAAGTTCGCTACCGTTGGCAGTGATAAAACAGTAATGAGGTATTTATCAGAGACTTAGACAAGGAAAGAGAGAGGACAGGTAACGCTCATTTAATAAACCTTCGAAAAGTGAAGCCAGTTTCGATGTGACCGCCATGTTTTGGTGCCAGTACGTTGCCCATTACTACCTTTCGCATAGTTACCAGGTCTACTGGTTTTTCAGTGAATCTACTGATTTCAACTTCAATTTACTGATTTACTGACACACTAGGTACATCAACTAAAAAATATGTAATGATAAAATCATGTTTAAAAAGTGATCATTCTGTCAGTGTTCGATTATAAATTTTGAAAAAAATCTTTATTAATATAGATCCACTATCCTAAATAAATATGACCTGGTAACCTTTCTGGTGCCTTTTTTATCTTCAGTCAATTCCATTCGATTACGTGTCCCCTCTCTTTCCTTGCCTAAGATCAGACACCTATCTCGACTTGCGTATAAAAAGTTACAGTGCCCTACAGGGCAAGGAAAACATATCATAGTTTTACATATCAGATTGATAATGGATGGAAGATTATTAATGAATGACTTTTACTTTTTGAGGAAAGAAAGACAAAAGATTACCATAAAGAAATTAATACATATATTTTTGCAAATTGGTTTGGTAATATCTCATAAAAATTACCAGAAACGCTTTCTTTGATATCACACAGAGCTGGTGAACTGTGGGGGATTATGCTGCATAATCTGGGACAGCCTTTCGTCCAAATTCGCGGAAACAAAATGTACATAGAGACAAAAAGAGATGGCATAGAAGATTAGTCAGGAATGAGTGACTATTCCAAGTTTAAAAATAAAAATATAAAAACGACGAGAGAGCTCCGCTAAGGCAGCTTTGGTACAATTTATTTGCAGTACTATTGGAGGGATCGATTTAACTGCTCATTAATCGTTCTGATCAGTAAGAAAGTACGTCTCCTGTTTCAATCAAAGAAGGTGTTAAAAAATATTTAGTATACAATTATTAACCTCATTATTGAGTATGAAAAACGTTTTGATTTTTGGTAAATCGGGTGACGTATTACAAATAAATAATGCAACACGTAGAGAGGGGGTCAGGATTTAACTCATTGAAATCGACACGCACCCACTTAACACATTTGGTTAACATCGTAAGCATCAATTTTCATAGCAACTCACTAATACATCAGTCAATTAAGTTCGGAACTTCATAACCAATGGATACCACATCCGTCAAAGCAGCTCAAGCAGTAGCATTATTGAGAGAAGACCTGAGCTAGAGAGCCGTGGAAAATCGACTAAATTTAAGCCAATCTTCTGTGTTTCGAGTGTATCGTCGGTACCAAGATACTAGTGACTATGTCCGCCGACAAGAGGGAGGTTGTAAACGAATAACAACAGAAAGATATGATCTATCTAAATATCTGAGAAATCGACATTTGACTGGTGTTAATCTCAAAGAAGAGCTTAGAGAGGTCCGAGGTGTGGTTACCAGCGTTTGGACAGTCAGAAGGAGACTGAAAGCAGCCAACCTGACACCAAAAAGGGCAGCTACTGGTCCCAAGTTAACTGAAGCCCAGAAGTAAAGACGACTAGAATTTGCTCGCGAACATCTGGATTGGAACGACTATCAATGGAGTCAGGTATTATTCTTTGACGAAAGTAGGATCTGCCTACATGGTAACGACAAAAGGCGTCGAGTCTATAGAAGGCCAGGGAAACGATTTGCTCAATGTTGTATACTAGAAATTGTGTCATATGGAGGCGTTTCTTGTATGTTTTGGGCAGGCATTTCCATGGATGGGATAACCGAGCTGGTTTTCCTGCCTGGTGAAGGACGTGAAGGAGGTTTAACGGCGGATTGTTACATCAGAGATATTTTGGAGGAACATGTGCTTCCATACGCGGGATTTATTGGTAATGCCTTTATTTTATTGCATGATAATGCACGATGTCATACCGCACGAGTCACCACCACCTATCTGACTGAGATCGGTATACCTACAATAAATTGGCCTGCGTTAAGTCCAGACATGAATCCAATAGAGTATGTTTGGCATAAGCTTAAACGAAGGGCCCGGAGCAGAAATCATGCACCAAGGAGCATAATGGAATCGAGAGCTGCGCTTAATGATGAATGGGAAGCAATGCCTCAAGAATTTATTAGAAAAGTGTAATTAGGAATAGAGGTGGTAATATAAGATACTGAAAAAAAAAATCATTTCGTAATTGATGATTTCTCTGTTTTTTTTTTCTAATGGTTTCCATCCTGTTGCTATTTTTTTTCTCAAAAATTATCAACCCTGGTCTATAATGTTTTTAAGAAAATTTTTGTTTGTTTTTTCTCAATTTGATTTCTGTTACTTTTTGAGAAACTGTAGAAGAATTGGGCAACTAAATCCCAAAATGTGTAATATTGTAGATAAGTCTCTGACACACATATTCATAATAATAGTTTTAATTGATATATTTCGAGTTAAGAGTTAAATCATGACTTGAATCTAAACAAACCGACTTTTCGATGTTATTCTTATAAAAGTACGTTTTTTTTATTTATTAATTATCTATTATTAATATTAGTTATTATAAGGTTTTCCAAATTCTTTTTAGTTGAAAAGAAGAATCGTGTAGAATAAAAACATGTAGGGGAAGTGTGCCTATTTTTTACCCCTGCCTATGACGGACTTCCAGCTGTAATTTCAAATAGCGCGCGGTTACTTTCACATTGCCGCGCAGGTTGCCGCTTGCGCACGAAGATTTTAGTAAATTGGTTTAGTATTTGCAAAGTTTCAGACAAATGACTGTTCAGAGCAGTAAGAAATATTTGCATTCATATTTGACCAATCATTGAAGGAACAAATATGCGAGTGGATAACTTAACGTGCCGAAATATTCAGGCGTAATTTGACGAGGTATTCGACAATGAAACATTGGACACCAGTCGATACTAATGAGCTGTGTACATTTCTTGGTTTATGCATACTAATGGGTAAAATTAGTATGCCCATCATTAAAAATTATTGGAGTACAAATGTTTTATACTTTCACCCACTTTTTGGAAATACAATGTTTAGAAATCGCTTTGAATCTATCCAGATGTCTGTGTTTTTACAAAGAAGCTGATGACAAAACTTCACGTTTATACCTATAAAATTTCATAAAGGTTATTCCACGAATATACGACTGTTTTGGATTATTACGACAACGAATATTTTACTGTGCAAGTAGAAGTATGAAAGTAAATTGGTCTAAACAGTATTCCAATAAAATGGATTTACTGTTAGTTTGATACTTACACCAGAGAACTACGAACTGCGTTCGTAGTTCTCTGCTTACACTAACTGTAACATACATTTTATACATCTATAAAAACTTTAGTTTTTTTTTTCAAATAAGGTGTAGAGAGAAACTCGTTATTTGACAAGTTTTGGGGATTGGCAGATTTAGAGTGAAAGATCTTATGTAATGAACTACATGCGTCCTATTCAAAATAAATACACCACAGCAGCATCTAATAACACGAGGTCGCGAGGACTAAAATAAAGCTTACTACTGTAATACTTTACAACACAAGACGAACCTCGTCAAGTTTGTCAAAAATATTTTATCTCAACGTTAGGAATCAGAAAAAGATACGATACCTTCCGGACAGTGTGATTTGTTCATTATTTAAAACCATTTAAATTATATTTTTCTGTAACTAAACGCTGTGGACTGGAAACGCAACGTGCATGATAATTATGCCACGACCTTTATGATAAATGAATTTATGTACAGTCAACGTTGACATGACATAACATAATATAATATGTTACAAATATTGTGTTTTGATTTGTATTTGTGGGCCGATCCCGGTGGTACTGCAATACCGGGCCAACCCGTGATAGAAGTGGAGCAAGCCCCTTAACCTTCCATCTCTTTCCAAAAATCAGTTTAATATACTGGCCCCGCATGCGGGGCGTATCAGATATTAAGCTGATAAGAACAGATACTACACTTTGATCTTAGCCAGAGGCCGAGAAGCGATAACATTAAAATTCCCAATCGAACTACTCCTGGCCAAAATTAAACTATGTATAGACAAGTGGACACTAGCGCCATCTATCCCTGACAGCGTAAACTTTATAACGTAAATGTATTCTGTAATATGGACAAGAGTAAATCTAACTCGATGATAAAATACACTATAAAGGTTATTCCACGAATATACGACTGTTTTGGATTATTACGACAACGAATATTTTACTGTGCAAGTAGAAGTATGAAAGTAAATTGGTCTAAACAGTATTCCAATAAAATGGATTTACTGTTAGTTTGATACTTACACTAAAATTATTTCAGTTAATATACGAGATGTTCAGATGCAAAATTTATTGTGAAATTTAATCCGAAAATAACAAAAATTTTTACGCGAACGGTCCTACAAATAAATACAATCAGTTCTATGAAGCCAAAATGTGTTCATACGATATTTGGGTTAGGTTTCTTTGAAATGTAAATACCAAAGAGGCGTGCCGGGTTTCTTTGATATTACACTTTTTATTAATTAATTAGGTACTAAAATTGTAATAAAAAGAAATATACTTTTAATATAAATGAACAGAAATTGGCAGAACGATGGTTTGGAAACTAGAAAAAAGATCTATAATTTCACTTTGTTAGTTTTAAATATTTGTTTGATTTGAGTGGATGTACACATAAAGTTCAAAAAGTAACGGGTACAACATACCGGCTATTGATAGTTGAAGTACCGAGTCGTTACAGATATTAAAAAGTAACGAACATTTATATACAGTTTCATATGACTGATTTTAGTTTTAAAAACTGTCCGTATAGAGGTGTCCGGTAAAGAGAGGTGCCGTTAAGAAAGAGTTCAGTGTATTTGTTTATTGAAGCCAAAAACGCCGACACGTGTTTTAGATGTAGACAACTTTATATGTACTTTCCTATGGCGAAGTTCTGTGAATCTGATGGTTGATGATAGTCTTAGGAGATTAGGAGAATAAGAAAATAAGTAAGCTTTTTTTGGTTTCTTAATACTAATTGAATATTCGACTAAATCAATTACACGAGGTCGCGAGGTCGTTAATCACCTAAGTATTGTTACACTTCGTTTAAATCACTTAATTCAAAAACCAACTTGTTTACATTACTAAAATCAATGATAGCAATTATATACTTCAAAATCTGAATTATAACTATTCTATAAACTATCAACTCTATATTTATATCATGACTTTATATTTAAATTTTAAGTCATAACAGTATTTTAAAAATAGGGAGAATTTACTATTGTACAATTCAGCACATTGGACCTTTCAAATAGAGACCTTAAACCGAATTTAAAACAGTCGTATATTCGTGGAATGGAGTTTAGCTGTTGAATCACATCACCCAAAATATACAGAGTATTTTTTATCCCGATGATAATCTCTCACTGGATGAAGCATTATTACTTTGGCGCGGGAGACTTCTATTTCGTCAGTATATTCCAAATAAAAGTACCAAACACGGAATTAAATTATACGAACTCTGCACTCCAGATGGATTTGTGCTAGAAATTCTAATTTATTCGGGCAAAGGGACAATTTCTCAAGAGACTAGTCATGCTCAATCGGTAGTAACGAAACTAGCAGGACGTTATCTAGGCAAAGGACATACGTTGTTCCTTGATAACTATTACAACAGTGTAAATCTGGCTGAATATTTATATAAACAAAAAACACACATTGTTGGAACGTTACGGAAAGATCGTAAGGGGAATCCCAAATCAGTTATAACTACTAAATTAAGAAAAGGACAAAGTGTGTTTCGAAAAAAGAAAAATGTACTTATGGTAAAGTGAAAAGATAAGCGTAATGTGTTACTAATATCGACAAAGCATAACGCTGCTTTTGGTAAAATCACTAATAAGAGAGGTGTTGAACTAGAGAAACCAAATGTCATACTAGACTATAATAAAAATATGTCGGGCATAGATCGAAGTGACCAAATGGTGTCGTACTACACAACGCCCCGGAAAACAGTCCGTTGGTACCTGAAAGTGTTTTTCCACTTATTGGATATTTTAATTTGGAATACCACGTACCTATATAATAAAGTGCAAAGAAAAATTACTTATTTGAAGTTTATAGAGTTGCTTATATTTCAATATTTAAATGCAAACACAAAAGACACGTGCTCCATCATTAAAAAAACCGACATATATGGAAAAGCTACATTATCCAAAGAAGGTGGGGAAGAGGAAAAGATGTCGTGTTTGCTCTTCAAAAAAGAAGACAACTCAAACGTACTTTGTTTGTGCAGACAAATATGGAGAAACCGTTAGACTTTGTGTAGACCCTTGTTTTCGTTAATATCACGAATCGAAGATCTAATTTCTTTTTAACATTATGTATGCTCGTTTTGTAGCAACAGAAATTAAAAATAAAAAAAATCAGTCGAAATTATTATTCTTGGAGTCGCTCATAAGTGAGACACATAGTCTATCAAAGAAAAATTCATATAATAGACCAGTGTCTCATATATTTCAAAAATCCTTTCAAATGTCTTTTTTCTGCATCTGTTATTTACTACATTGATTCACAGCACAATTAAAATAATTTTATTTTAAAATAATAAAAAAAAATTGTGGTCCCTCAATGTCCAAAATTTTAAGATCTTAGTAGCGAACGTGTTAAGGAGTCCATCATAGGCATATTTCCCCTACATAACGTCATGACATGACACTCCAAATTCTAATGTACTAACTCCACCAAATTTTCTCTTGTATCATCGTTTCTGTTTTTATGTTTGGGGAAATTAAAGTTATATAGGTCCAAATAATCATAAGTCTGCAGGTTAATACCAACAAATCCCCCGTATGTCGGACTCGTTTTGTAATAAAGACCAGCTGATTGTAAGGGTACCGCAACGTCAGAATAGACTGGTTGAATGTCTATAAAAGGGATCGTAGTTTGAGCTGCATCCTCGTTCAAATCCGTGTGTGTAAATTCAACAGATGTCGAATAAACGTCATTCATGTAATATTTAGTCGATTGAGGTGAAAACGTTGGGACACGTAGATTATTCATCGCAATTTTGCTTCTACAAATTACAAAAATCATTATTAACGACATAAACATATATTTTTCAGAGGTGTAGTGTGAGAAATTATGAAAGACCAAATGAAAATGTATATCATAGATAAATGTTAACATTGTCTTAATTAACTGAATTATGTAGTCCAGGATATGGCGGTAAAAATAGTAGAAAACCTCTGAATTTTTTTATATGCATCGATGTGACTGAAATTTTGAAAGTAGTTAAAAAATTAATTACTATTTATAACTGGGAATAAGCCACAATTAAAGATAAAAATACGTTTATTGACGTTTCAATTTCCAATTCGGAAATCGTTCTCAAAATACAAACAGTAAATTAAACAAATTTTGTTTTTTGTTACATAGTGAAAAAATTCTTCTAATAATTTAATTTTATCTGACTCATTTATATTGACAATTCAGACATACATTATGCATTTTAAAGTAGACGACTTTAAAATGATATTGTCAATATTGTTGAGTTGCGCTCCTGTGACGGCTTTACTTATAAGATAGTTCATTCGATTACATGAAATCAACTTTAACTTGAGAATATCCGTCAGAAAAAATCATACCATGTAATTCGTCTTTAAAAAGACAAACACATGACATGATGACAGTAAAATATTTGAAATTTAAATAGATATTTAAATTTCAAATCAAATCACAATATTAATGTAAAAAAGGGAATAATTAAATCCTTATACGATAGAGCCAAAATTACTTGTTCTAACGAAAATTCATTCTTGGAGGAGAAACATTTGTTAACATCTGTTTTATTAAAAAATGATTATCCTTTATCGTTTATAAATAAGGAATTTTCAACAATCGATCGAATAGAACAGAACAACTTAGAACCAGATCCTACAGCATACACAAGGAATAATATGAGGAAAATAACAATACCGTACATAAAAGGATTATCAGAAAAACTTAAAAGGATAGGAAATAAATTCAACATTTCAACAACATTCAAAACAACAAACACGTTGAGATCTATTTTGTCCAAAACCAAACCTAACAATGAACAAGAAAGGGCAAAGAATTGCATTTATAAAATACCTTGTGAATGCGATCAGTTTTATTTAGGTGAATCATCAAGGCCATTAAATGTTAGAATAAGTGAACATCAATCTTATATTAAAAATAGAGAATTTGATAGATCTCAAATATGTAAACATGCATGGGATAATGAACATAGGGTTCAATGGAATAATTCAAATATAGTCCTAAAAGAAACGGATGGCAAAAAAAGAAAAATCAAAGAAGCGGCTCTAATTATGCTAAATGAGGCCAATTGTGTCGCAAATTCCTCGGCAGAATGTAGTAGGATCTGTTACCAATATTGAAAGAGGAAGTTAGTAATAAGAAAATACCAGTATTAGTAAGTCAGTAACATATAGCGGATACATCATTTATGTTTTTTAAATAACGTAACATATAAAATCAGAATTTTGATGTTTGTTGAAGGTAAACTAAATTCACGAACAAATACTTACAATGTCGGGATAGTATTATGAGGTTTTTTTTTTTCCTGGTTTTTCCCTCATAATTTACTATGGAATCACTAACAGGAGAATTTTACTGTCATCATGTCATGTGTTTGTCTTTTTAAAGACGAATTACATGGTATGATTTTTTCTGACGGATATTCTCAAGTTAAAGTTGATTTCATGTAATCGAATGAACTATCTTATAAGTAAAGCCGTCCCAGGAGCGCAACTCAACAATATTGACAATATCATTTTAAAGTCGTCTACTTTAAAATGCATAATGTATGTCTGAATTGTCAATATAAATGAGTCAGATAAAATTAAATTATTAGAAGAATTTTTCACTATGTAACAAAAAACAAAATTTGTTTAATTTACTGTTTGTATTTTGAGAACGATTTCCGAATTGGAAATTGAAACGTCAATAAACGTATTTTTATCTTTAATTGTGGCTTATTCCCAGTTATAAATAGTAATTAATTTACAATGCCACAAGAAAATAGCTTCAGAACAATAGTTAAAAAATAGCTCAAATATCCAAATCTACTCCATGCCAATATGTGATTTACCTCTGGGGGCGGAAAAAGTTTAACAAAAAACATGGTAGTCGCTAGAATGGTGAATTTTTAGACAAAAATGCTCTTTAGAACTTTTTTCGACAATTCAATATATAACGATAACGATAAACCACATCACTGGAATGGCGTAGCGATGATTCTGAGCTAAAAGGTCGCTGGGGCTGTGATCAGCGTGCTACCTCTCTCTGATGTCATTCTGATGAAGCTGCAAAGCAGGTTTATTAATACGAACACCATTCAAATTTACGCTTCAACATCAGAAAAGCCAGAGGAGGATATCGAGGAGTTCTACGCACTGGTACAAAAAGCACTAAAATGTACCAAGAAGAAAGAGCTTACCATCATCATGGGTGATTTCAATGAAAAAGTTGGCAAAATCAGAATAGAAGACCTCGTCGGACAACATGGCTAAGGCGAGAAAAATGAAAGGGGAGACCGACTTCCGATCCAATTTTGTCGGGAAGAAGATTTTACCATTGCTAACACCTGATTTAGACTTCCCCGAGACGACTTTATACGTAGAAATCACCTGCAGATATAGCCAATAATATCATCAGAAATCAGATAGACTATTATCATTAACAAAAGATTCAAGAACAGCTTGACTTTGGCAAAGACCTTTCCAGAAACAGACGTCTCATCGGAACACAACCCATAAGTGGGCCAGCCCTCAAACTAAAGAAATTTAACAAAAGTAAAGCTAACAGAACTTGGATTATAACACTCTAAAAGACCCCGTAGTTCGTCAGAACGTAAAAGACGTAATAAGAGAAAAAATAGAAACCGCTAAACAACAAGAACACAGTATAGAACAAAAATGAACACAGTGTAGAACATCTGGAAAAGAAAACAAGAGTAAAAAATAAAGAATGGATGACTGATGACATTCTACAGATGATGGACCAAAGGAGATTAATGAAAAACAGGAATGCAAAGAAATACCAAGAAATCAACCAAACAATTAAAAAAGAAATACGAAGAGCCATGAAGACATGAATGCAAGAAAAAATTAAATTAATCGAAGAGTTCCAAGTGAAACAGATTATATAAATATCCACCAAAAGATTCGAGAAGCTACTGAGCAATACAAGAGGAGACATACACACCTTCTCATAAACCAAGACGAAACCTATCGACGACATTTAAGGAGAAGTTGGTGACCTGGAAAATGTACATCGAAGAACTTTTCTGGAAATACCGAGGTAACCTTCCAAAAATAAATTGCATGACAGGCCCCGTCAATACTAGAAAGCGAGGTGAAAGCAGCTTTAAAACAGTCTAAGAATGGTAATACCACAGGTCCTGACGAAATAAAAGTTGACCTTATTAAGGTGATGAGTAAAGTGAGCACTGTTTAACCGCCATATACGATTCAGGTAATATCCCAGAGGAATGGCTATTGTCAAAATTTGTAACACTACAAAAAAAAAACGATCTGCGAAAACGTGCGAACATTTCCTAACTATCAGCGTTATGAGTCATGTACTTAAGATTTTTCTTAAAATCATACATGCCAGAATTTACAAGAAATGCGAAGAAAATACCGGTGAAATGCAATTTGGATTTGACCGTTGTCAGCACCACAAGATTGTCGCCACCCTAATACTCTGAGGAAATTTTTACTGAAGCCCTCACAAATCTAGAGATGTGAATCCGAGTGCACAGTGCCGATGACACTATGTCACTAGCAATCAGAATAAATAATCTACAAGCCTTACTAGACCGAGTGAGAACTGTGAGCGTAATATACAGACTAGACCTTAATATTAAGAAAACTAAATTCATGGCCGTGCAAATTTAGATTCCGGGGCACTAATGGCAGGTAGCGAAGAGATCCAGAGAGTCGACAGATTCACTTCCCTCGGAACTACCCTCAACTCACACTGGGACTACGCCCAAGAGATTAGATCCAGAATTGAAATGGCGCGGTCTACATTTATCAAGTTGAGATACTTGCTGTGCTGCAGTGATCTCAGTTTGGGAACTAAGATGTGGATAGTCAGGTGCTACATACTTCCAGTGTTACTATATGAAGCTGTATTAAAGCCTGAACACTGACGCAAGTTACTGAAAAGCGTATTGAAGCCTTCGAGATGTGGATCTATAGGAGGATACTAAAAATATCGTATGTGGACCATGTCACCAACGTTGAGGTCCTACAGTGCATGACAAAAGAAAAAGAATTGCTTAATTTAGTGAAACAACGTAAGCTTGAGTACCTCGGCCATGTGATGCGAAACGAAGAAAAATATCGAATTCTTCAATTCGTTATGCAGGGTAAAGTATTTGGCAGGAGAAGACCGGGACGCCGTCGTATCTCATGGTTGAACTCGACAATGGTTTGGGATGACCTCCGCGGAACTGTTTCGTAAATCAGTCACCAAAACCATAATAGTCTTGATGATCGCCAACATCCGGACCGGATAAGACACTGAAGAAGAAAGACAGACATAATAAGCAAATTATAATCTTGGTAAAATAAATTATAAATGAACAACGAATAGTTTTATCCACGGTGGTTTTGGCAGGGGTGAGTTTGTTATTTTCTGTGTCACCAAAAATATAAGGGGACTATCTTAATTTTCATGCAAATCGCTTTTACAAGCAGGTATTCATTTTAGTTTTTTAAGATCTTTAAAAAAGTTTTAATAAGTTTTCCATGAAAAACTTACCGTTTTTCAATTATTCAACACCATATATTTGGATTGTTGTATTAGATCAATAAAAGTCAACTTTCGATAAGCCATAACTTTGTTAATATTAACTTGACGGTAATAATAAAAAACGAATCTCTCGATTTTATAAGCTTCATTTTACAGCCAAACGGCCAAGCAAATTCATGCATATATAAATAATTCTGAGCAGAAAACCGTCATATCCTGGACTAATACTATTTTTTCAAAGTTACCTGTAACCGTATCCATTATCGATATTTCTAGATTTGGCCCTATTTAATTTACCAGATGTAAAGTTAAAGGGTGTCACCTGTATTTGTAATTGAATCTCGTCGTTATAATTTAAAACAAATCTTGCACCTGAAATGGGAAATTTACAAATAAGCACAGAATACCTAGCGTATAGTAAAAGTTAAAATAGTAGTGAAAAGGCAAGAAAGAATCTAAAACGAGTCCTGATGAAGACTCCAAAATAAGGAGTCGAAAGCTCAACGTTTTTTATAATATACTGGCTGACCCTGCGAACTTCGGTTATCCATTTTTGTATCATTACCACATCATTTACCACAGGTAAAAAGAAATAAGAATATGTAAAAAGAAATAAATATTTATTGGGGCCTTAATATTTAATTCCGATCGCTTAAAAAGTAAAATAAATGTTTATTTTTTTTTTAATAAATTTTTAATCTTTTTTTTTTTTGAAAATAAATGTTTTTCTAAATATATTATCATCGCATACAGATGACGGTTAGCCATTGAAGTACCAATATTTTGGTTACTTACCTGTAATAACATAGTTCTGATTCGGAACGCTTAATTGGTCCAAATTCATGGTGCTCTTTAGATATTTCATCATATGATAATCTTCACCTTCGTTAGCATTCCAACTCTGTATAGAAAAGTCACTTACCGGCTTCCAACGTACGCTGTTTTGTTCAATATACCCGTAGGGCAATAGCAAGCCCTGCTGAATTTGAATATGAATCATACGATTTTGTTTGACAAATCGCATTCCCGTTACTACCCTAAAAATAAGTAACAATACAGAATTGTTGAAGTAAATAAAATACAAACAGCTGAATAGAGTAATCGGCCAAAAAAATAACTTAAAACTAGCAGAAAGCTTGTGGCTACATGAAAATAACAGTGAAGTGAAACAGAATATAAATACTGAGAAGTTCACAAAACAATTAAGTGAAGGCAGGAATATGAAAACCTAAAAAATTCATATCGACGAAAAATGAAGACAACGAAATAAAAACCGATCCAACAAATACTTCAAAATAATTGCCAAAGGTATTGTTAGTTTTTTTAGACTATACCAAAAGTGATATTTTGCCGATTTTTTAGTAGATACTGTGACCTTTGTGTTCATGTTTAGTGACTTGTTTACGATGTTTACATACAGACTATTGAAAATTGTCAAGATAAGAATCCTGTTAACTCCACTTTTAGATCTTTACGAAGACTTAGAAATTGGCAGAGAGATGAGGATTAACCCCAGTTGCGTCAATTGTCTTCTTATTCTTCTTCTTCAGCTTTAAGTAATCCAACTTTGGACATAGGTCTCCACCAAATCAATCTAGTATCTCCCGATCTTCTTAATATCATCCGCTTATCTCATTTGTGGTCTTCGTCTGCTTCTCTTTCCTAACCATGGTCTCCATTGTTGTATTTCGTGGTTCCATATCTCTTATCCTTCAGTCAAGCATTGTGTCCTGTCCAAGCTCCATTTTAATTCGGCAGCATGTTCTCCTGCGTCGTTTACTTTGGTTTTGCTTCTAATCCATTTGTTTGTTTTTTTGTCTATAAGTCTCACTCTGAGCATTGATCTTTTAAGATAAAAAAAAAGATCAATGCGTCAATTGTAACTCATCCTTTAATCGTTTTTCTCTTTACAATTATCTTACTATTTTATTATTTTGGTTCCAATGACAAGGGACTACCGAAGTCTGATGTCACAATGGACGGGGGGTTTAAAAAAAACCCCTTTTCACCTTTCCAAACATTTCTAATTTGTGTGTATTTGTCCCATAAGAAGTTGGAAATATTGGTTTTTTCAATTGTTTAAAGAATAAATAAGGACTTTTGGTTATCACGGATAATTGAAATGCACGGATAATCCGAACATTTTTTTAAGGATATGTACTGTCATACTTCTTCTTTCCCAAACAAAGAAAAATAAATAAAAAAAATCCATCGGAATAAAATTTTAAGATATCAGTATAAAACAAATTGTATATAGTAAATTAAGATAAGATTTAGTGTAGATAAGAATAGAAATTTGTTTGGCAAACGACCTTTTTCCGTTTCCAACAAAATTATCAAAAAACCTTTGTTTAGAATTAGAAGACATTTTACCTGTAAGTTAATCTTTTCATTGTTTGTATAATCGAGTATTAAATGACCATATTCTAATCTTTTGAAATATGTATAAATTGTGTATTGACAAAACCAATTTTAAAGAAAGCTATTTATTTTTTCTCTGAAACCGAAATTAGGCTTTTCCAAAATCATGGTAAACACAATTTGAGCTTTTGATTGGACGGTCGTTTTTGAATGGGAATTTGTGAGCCGATCAGTAGAACCGGAGAAGTTAGTTATAATTTGGTCATCGAAGGAAGCAGTCGTTTGTCTCAAGACAGGGTGTGGTTCGTGAGTTGGATACCGGCATTGTGAAAAGAATTGAATAGTTTTGCAGAAGGAGATAGCAAGTAGATTAAAAGAGGTCCTTATATCTACCTTGGGCATTTTGTGAAGATTTGTGAAAATAGTTTTATGGCATCAAGTTGACAAAAGGAGGTCCTTGTGTCATTAATAAGTAGCTCAGTTTTTGGAGAAGTGAATCAGGTGTTTTTGGTTACTGCAGCAGGTTTTCAGAGGCGTTAGGAAGGAGCCTAGGTGCCAAAAAGGAGAGATCACATCGTTGAGGAGACTGGACTTTTCTGGGTATGTTCCAACATACAACTCAATAAGAAAATAAGCTGTAAGTGTTTTGTACAATTGAATTTTATATCTGTGAAGGATATGTTTGACATCATGGTCATTAGCATTCAAATTTAAGAACTGAGGTTTTGTTAGGCTAATCAAAAGTTTAAAGTTCTGTTGTTTCTTGTTTCAAGTAAAGAAAAATTTAAGTAAAATTGGTTTTCACTTAATATAAACGTATGTAGATTTAAAATTTTACTATTATAAAAATTTGATTTATTTTCTTGTATGCTGTTTATTTTTTATTTTTTTATGTATATTTTTTGAATATAATTTTTTTTATTATTACCCTTCTTCTCTATCCCCATAAAGGGCAACTAGAAAATCTTTGAATCCATGGAACACAGGTAATATAAGGAGTATATTTTACATTTGATAACAAATAAGTTATATTTTTTTATCGGCTCAATAAACTAAGATTAAAGTCAAAATAAAAATCATAACAGTACATATTATACATTGTACATACATGCATATATACCTATCATACAAAGATAACAGAAAAAATCAAACTCATAAGTTTAAACTAACTTTTATAGTACATAAAAACATACATAACAGAACAAAAAACAGATTCCTACCGAAATAAGTTTTTATATTAAATAATAAAAATAAAAACTACATAAAAGTATTATATATTTTAGGAGGCTATGCTTTTGAAAAAAAAATCAGTCACTTTGGCCTGTGTTAAGAGTTTTCGTTTTTTTTTTATAATTTTCTGACGTATTTTACGCAAATTTAAAATATCGACAAGGTCTGAAGATTCTTGTTGCTCAAAATAGTCTATTAAAACATTGACAGCTTCATCAGCCTTTTGGTTAGTTATTCTGTTGATTAATAATGCTCCATCATTGTCTTCATCTTGACTCTCATTTTCGGATGAATCAGGTTGTGACGTGCCGAGCTGATGGGAAACCAGTTCGACAATTTCGTCGTTGCTGAAGAGCTGGTTATATACTGATCATCTTTTACTCCATACATGACATACTGATCTCTTTTACTCCATTCCATACATTCCCCACTGTAAAAGTTTCATCTTTTATTGTGAACGATTTCCAAAACTTCATCAGATGAACTTCATAAAACAAGTTCATCATAAATTTTTTTCGGTAGAGTCGTTTCATTGCCTCAATAACTCCTTGATTCATTGGTTGAGCAGTGGCTGCAATATTGGCTGGAAAAAAAGAACAAAGAAATTTCCATCGTCAGATCTAAGGGTCACCTCATTGAGATGAGCACCAGCGTTATCCAGAAGAAGAACCGCCTTTTGTGGTAATATTTCTTTCTTCAAATATAACTTTACTTCCGGAATGAACTTTTCATGGAACCAATCTTTGAAAATGTCACAAGTTATCCAGGCAATCTTCTGGTTATTATAGTGAACTGGGAGATTCTGTCGTTTCATATTTTTAAAAGCGCGAGGATTTTTTGACTTTCCAATCACAGTCAGCTTCAGTTTATCGCTGCCAGACGCATTGGCACAATACAACACGGTTATCCTGTCTTTACTTTTTTTATACCCAGGTGCACCCATTTCATTACCTGTAACTAAAGTTTTTGTAGGTATTGCTCGCCAGTATAATCCTATTTCGTCAGCGTTATAAATTTGAGAAAGTTGTAAATTGTTTTCTGTAATTATGGTCTCCAGCTCATAGTAAAATTCCACCATTGCTTCTTCGTCGGCACTGAGGTTTTCGCCTTGGATGGTAAGCTCACGAATTCCGTGACGTTTTTTGGATCGATGTAACCAACCACTGGATGCATTAAAAGATTCTCTGATTTTAAAATTTTTGTGAAAAATCTCCGCTTGCTTAGCACACATTGGTCCCGAAATTTCTACGTCCTCAGATCTTTTCTCCAAATACCACTTGGAAAACGCTTCATCGAGTTGTTGAAAAGTCGATCCTTTCAACGATTTCCGTGCAGATATGTTATTAAAAGAGCCAGACTGAGATATAAAATTTTGTAGTTTTAATTTGTTTCTATTAATATCGCGTATTGTTTGCTTACCAACTTCGTAGCTTCGTAGTAACACGCCGTGGTAATGATGTGACACTTTCACCCTTTTCACTTCTGTTTAAATTTTCTAGTTTTTGTTCAATCTTTAAAACACTTCTCTTTCCTCTTTCGTTTAACACTAGTTGTTGACAATTTGAAAATAAAAACACGTTAAAAGAATAATAAGAGTAGCTACTGATTTCTAGCTTCCAAATATGTAAATACTAAATCTCACACATTCGACGTAACATCAGCGGCATATTATAAGCTACCGGTTTCCAGTGATTCCCCGAGCACTGACGCTATGGATATTAAATTATGCGTCTTTCCCACGGCGTAGTAATTTGAGGTGAAGTCGTTCTGATAAAACGCCAATTCAATGTTAAGTAGCACGAATAATCCGCAGCCCGGATAATCCGCACACGAATAATCGGGGTTCTACTCAGGGGCGGCTCGTGATAGTACAAGCTGGTGAGGCACACTACACTTAAGGAAAATTATTATTATTATGGTTAGCTTCTCTTTGCTCCAGTCATACCCGGCTAAGGAGGCATTGCTCGCGCCAGCAAACAATGACTTGGCGTGAGAAGGACTTCTGATGATACGCGCGCGGATCAACAAAAGTCATCCTCACGTCAAAGCTCTCCTAAGCCCTCCTCCACCCTCCCTTATGTGCACTGAAGGTGCAACATAAGGGCTGACTGCTTTTTGAAAAAGTCCGCGATTGAGCTGTATTTATGAGCACCATGTGTAATAGGGTGCTCATAAATGTAACTTAAATCATACCCAAGGTGTCGTTAAGCGACTTACTCCCGTTTATCATGAAATCTCATATCGTGAGATAAAAGCGAACGAAAAACGAGGGAGCTGTAATCCTCGAACCTGCACCTTGGTTAGCGGCCAAGTTGTAGCCTCAAGGATCTAGGGGGCCTCTCCCGTGGCCTTTTTGTATTTTTATAATTTTTTTGTGAATTTTTTATTATTTTATACATTTTTTGAATTTATATATTTTTTATTAATTTTTTTGGGATTTTTATATTTTTTGGGGGGGTTAGTAGGTATTTTTTATCTGGGAGATTTGTTACTAAGTGTTATAAATGGCGACTGCTAATCTAGTGCCATCTTCTTCACGATCAAATTTGGTAGATAAAAATTCAAATAAATCTTGAGCAGAACACCCAGAACTTACATCGTAAAATCCTATGAATCGTTCGACTGGTTTATTGTTTATTACGTAACGAAAAATAACGGATAGTTGTGAATGGCAGCTTATATCAGTAGTCTCATCCACCTGCCAGGAAAAGAATAATGATTTTGAAATTTCTTCCTCAATTTTTTTATTTATAACAAAAGAAATTGAATCGATTAATTCATTTTGTATGGTTTTAGATGTCCCAGAAAAAACTGATCTAGAGTCATTATCATGTTCTAAAAATGTTTTTAAATTAGTGTCAAATTGACTAACAAGAACAACTAGCTCTTTGAAATTCCCGCAATTTAAAGATTCATTAGATTCATCATGCCCCCCAAACTCTTGCATACAGAGGTGTGACGTAATATCTGTAAGGCTTTTTAAAATTTGCCGATTTTCTTTAACCCTAGCATTGAAATTTTCAATATCTATTTTACGCGAATTGTCTAGTGCTGTAGCGATATTTTGCTTTTGTTTTCTCATAAGAGTAAGCTTGCAATTCGATGTAATATGTTGAGAACTTTTATTGTGTAACAATAGACTCCGAGACAAATTTTTCAAATCAGTATAACCATTTTTGAACCAAGCTTTGTCGCTAGTATTAGCTGTGGCAAATAAAATGCATGGCCAACAAAACAATTTATTTAATGTTATACTACCCGTAAGCCAGTCAAACTTTTCGTACCATGCATTTTGAAATCCCCGATTTGGTTTTCCGACGCCACCGATAGAAACAAGATGTTTACTTAAATCTAGAATAGGTCGTTTTACTACTTTAACTATATATAATTTATCTTCATATGAATGACTTGAAAAATTCTCCTGTTTGACTAAAAAATTTACGAGATTACAAGTATTACGAATATTTACATTTACCTGGGAAAGTTGTGACGAAGTGCTCGGTGCTAAATCCATTTTTCACTAAAACCGAAAATCCTGCAGACAAAAACAAACCCACCAAAATTATTAAAAAAACTTAATTAGAATTGCACTTATTATATAACATGTAATCTTACTGTTTTTTTAATGAAAAACAACACGAGATACGTCAAACGTGATCCTGCCGCACCAACAGGTCAACAGGAAGTAATTTAACTACTACTTACTACAACAATTTTGCAGAATGTTCCAAAATGTACCAAAGTTGCTAATCTGGTAAATGCATAGAAAAAAAATATTGTTTGTTAAATCGGAAAACAATAGAACAATATGTATAGTACCATCTACTAAAAGAAAATACTCCAATGTTGTTACAATTTTCAAATAAAAATCTATGTTTTATTTAAAATGTACTTTTATACCCCGAGGGAAAAAATGTAGCGAATTGGGTACCTTTGTACCAAAACGGCAACGCTGCTAATTAAAAGAACTACACCAAACGAGAGAGGCTTGCCTCTCCTGTTCGGTGAAATAGTGGGCAGAAAATAAATAAATCATGTTGAATTTCGCTACATAATGTGATGTCTAATATGCTAGACAGAGCAATGCCGTGAGGCTTGCTCGGCTATAATTTTTAAAGAGAGAATGAGATGCACAGATGGTAGGCGCCGTTGTTTATTTAATATTTTGTGGTTTAAGCTTGTCTCTTGTCCGGCCCGTAGATTATGAAGAAATATACAAAGATAATGAAAATAAAGTTATTTAGAAAATTTCAAAAAGTTAAATTGTAGTTAAAGAACGTAAATAGTCGATTAATACTGGTGAGGCACTGTCTCACCTACCTCATAGGACCAGCCGCCCCTGGTTCTACTGCATTTGTTGTTCGTGAATTTGTGAGGTAAGAATATCAAAGTATTAAGATATTTACTATGAATGTTAATATTTTAATTAGGGATATTTAAAATTATTCAATAAATCATTAAATTTATTTATGAAGTTGAAAAATATTTAAATTAATGTTTTATTCTTTTTTCGTTGCCAGTGATTTTATCATGTAAAAGACTGAAGATATTCTTTTTGTCGTAGTTTAAGTTGTAATATAGTATCATGTGGAAACTTTTCTATTAAATTATCATAATGAGTGTTTAAAAAATGATTTTTTAATATTGTAATAGTTTTGAGTTTACAACAATTCCAATCGCCCAGAATGAATGATCATAACCAAAAGTCCTTATTTATTCTTCAAACAATTAAAAAAACCAACATTTCCAACTTCTTATGGGACAAATACATACAAATTGGAAATAGAAAGGCTTTTAAAATCTCCGCCCATTGTGACGTCATAGCTTAGTTAGCTCATTGTCATTCGTAACGCAGTTTAATGATTTCTTGACTTCTACATATTTTATCTCGAAATATTTGAATTATTACAAATTAATTTGAAATATGATTATGTAGTTTTAACTACTGAAAATAAATTTTAGATTTTAAGGGATGCAATGTACACCCTTGGTTTTCTGGAGAATTGAATTACATATCCTATATCAACCTTTGTGATTAACACATTCAGAAATAGTAGTGAGTTGATGTTTCCCTTTTTAAAGGTGAATTTGCTTGATTCTTCTTTACAGTTAATCTCCATGAAAAATTTGGTTAGTGCTTCTATGGTCTATGGGGTCAAATCACATACTCACATCACGTGGGGGACACACAAATCACATGGGGGAGAACACTTCATCTACATTTTTAGTAGCCTTCTTTATGTTTGAGAAAATATTGTGTATAAACAATGTGTTTAAGAAAGTAGATGAAGTTGTGATATAAATTGCATTTGTTAGGGTTTTTATAGGACTATATGTATTACCAGTTATCGTTTAAATCGGCTATGGAAGGTCGTAGACTAAAGTATCTATCTGAGTCAAGACCTGGTTCATCGCAATAACATAAGCAGTAATGACAGCGAACGAACCACCTCGTCCAACTCTGGACCGTCCGTTTGGCACAGTATTCTGTTTTTCCCAATACTCTACCTCCATTATATTTTATGTAAGTATATCTTCTGTGACTGCCGGATTCCTAAAATACAATAAAATAAATTCATTATCATATTTCAATATACCGCCAGAAGAAAATTAAATAAAGTACAATCCATAATATTTAGTGGATATCACATCTCACTATCAGATTTCTATTAAATTTTTTGGTACATGTGACTAAATTACGCGACACTCGGCAACTTTTTAAAAAAATCTCTCGGTTTCTTGTACCGAGGAAGTTTCATCAGATTGTCATATGTCGTCTTTTGACAACAGATGGCGCATGAAATAAAGCCAATCGGTAAAAATAATTAGTTTATTTTTTTATTTGCCTCTTGATAGAAGCTTAGTAGCAAAATTGGAAAATGCTCACACATTTTTTGTCTTAATAAGGGCTTTCATTTGTGGGTTGTGTCACATGTGTTTGCGTTGTGTTGCTGCCATGGTTATTTAACCACAACGAACATAGTGTCACCCATCGACCATATAAACTATTTATTATATGGTCGATGGTGTCACCTTATTGGTGACAACTGACAGTGCAACTGACTCTCTGATTTTTGTCCAACTCGGTCGAAACGGGTGGGCCAATAATAAGCGTGGTACCTACAGTAGCTGACGGAACACGCGGCTATAAACAATTCATTATTTAAAAAGTTATTTCAGGCTATATTCCAAACCCCTGAACACCCAAGGTTCGATCGTGTATTTAAAGTCAAAATAGAAAACCTTACATGACATGACATGACTTGACGACATCAGTAGACGATAACAACTTTCTAGAGAGATATATCCACTATTGCCAAGAGTAATCAATGCATGTCTAAAACATTGTTATTGTTCTTCTCCCTGGAAAATAGCTATCACAATGTTGATTCAAACTCGCGTTCTTAAACGACTATAGGTAGTAGCACTTGTTTTGAAAGATGGCGGACCAAATAGGAATATCGTTTGCTGACATTGTAAATTTGGTGGGAATTTTAAAAAACCCCTAGTTGAAGGGCAAGCTACTTTATTTTTAAATTTGATGAAATCAGTTTTAAACTCTAATTTATTCATATTTTTGACTTTTGTCCCTATTTTACTAGCTATCTATTTTGACAGCAGGTGGCAGTACGGTTGTTTGAGAACGCGAATACACAGGAAACGGCTGTCCAATACCAAATCTTACCGTCATATTTTTCTGATTAAAATTTTCGGTCACATTCTAGATTGAATTCCGAAACTTATAGACTCCCTCGACACCCAAAATATCATCCCTGAATAATAGTAGGGATTCCAACGAGCTCACTCAACGACAAAGGTATTTTAAGGCTTTGCTATGCTTGTCAGACTCACTGTAGTCACATTTCTCGATGCCCAAAATGCTTTCAACCAAGTCTGGCATAATGGACTGATTCCATGAAGAAATTCATTAAAATTGTGAAATCATACTTTATTAGCATAACTATAAGATTAAAGATTCACGAACATAATTTCGAATAGCGTATCAAACCGGACCAGACTTCTCTAACCGTTGACTGGCAAATCCTGTAGTACCTAAACTCAAAAAAATCTCATATACTCTCTCAAAAAATAAATATTTTTTATTGACTTCAAATCACTTACTCCATCACAGGTTATTAAATTAGACTCTATGAATTGACAATTATATATATCGCCTCTGCATCGTTGGACATAACGGCAGTAGTCACTATTGGTATCGTAACATCCATAACTGCGTGTGCGCGGATACGCAGCGCAATTTTCCGTACAAGTACCTCTTGAATTTAAGTCAACCTCGTTTTGAATATGCGCCTGTATGAGCCTTGTTAATTGTTCATAAGTTTTTCCTAAAATGTAAATTATTTAAAATAATTTGGACTTTTAAATCAGGATATAAATTCAGAAACTCTGATTTATCCAGAGTATAAATCAGAGTTTTCACATTTATTATGCATGCAAATCGCGTGTAAATTATGGTGCCAGCTCTACCGATTCGGCAGTTTATCGGCATATGTCTTAAAACTTGTAGATACGGGTAGGAACTCCTTTTTGGATAGTCCTATCAGGGAAAGTGAATCAATCCCTGCCTTCCGCAGATTCCTGACCCGGGAAACTAGTACCTGCTAAGGGTCCCTTGTCCAGGGTCACGGATGAAGTCCACAACGGCATCTAGGGCGGAGAAGAAGGTCTTCACAACGGTCTGGAGGACAAAAGTGGCAGCCCCCTGGTTTTAGAGCTTGTTTAAAATCGAAGGGTAGGTGAGACACTCTAGCTGTAGTGGAAGCAACTCGCATACGAGAAGGATACTCTGATATAAAATCTCTGGCCCTCCAGATTGGGAGTTGAGGTACCGGGCCAACTCCTCGGTACTCATAAAACACGTACAATGTTAAGAAGCCTAACCAAAGCCACGGAACAAAAGATTGAAAACACAGTAGACAAAAACAGCAAAGAAAACTGTTAATGAATTTTTGTACATGGAATGTGCAAGGTATCTCCCGAAAAACACCAGGAATCATGTCAGAACTCAAAAATGCAGAGATAGATATAGCGATGCTTACAGAAACTAAAAAGAAGGGTATGGGTTCTGAAAAGTGGGGTCACTATGACCCATGACCTGTTTTATAGTGGAGTAACTAAAGACCAAAGAGCACAACAAGGTGTTGCTATTGTTATTCGCAAAACTTTAAGAAGACATAATACCTTTTGGGAAGCAATTAATCAGAGATTGATAAAATTGAACATCACGATAAAAGGAAGCAGAATAGCCGTACTAGGTGTATATGAAATTATGGAGGGCGCATTGGTCAACAGTAAAGATGCATTTTTCGAACAACTGAACGATGAAATTATAAAAGTAGGAACATCTAGAGAGATCATACTTCTAGGAGACTTCAACAGCAGAGTTGGATGGGAATTGAACAACAAAGTGGTAGGAGCACATGGTGAAAATACCAGAAATGGTAATGGAACCAGATTAATAACAGCATGCACAAAAAATAACTTAAAAATATTAAATAGATTTAATTTAAAACAGATACGAACAGATACGAAAAAGAAAAAGAGCACATCGAGTCAAATCAGTTAATAAAACAAGTACGGTACAACCTAGACAGTTTAAACCATAAGAGTGTAAAGCTACTGTATAAAAAACGATTAGACCAAAAATTAGAAATGGGTAGTTTTGAAAATACCGAAGAACACTACGAACACATCAAAAGGTCGGCAGCAGAAGAAGCACTGGGGAAATGTGACGAAAACTATAAAGTAATAAAACCGTACTGGTGGGATGAAGAAATAGAGAAGGAAATTAGAGATAAACGTCGGATATACCAAACAATCTTAACAACAAAAACAGAAAACGATAAAACAAGTTACAAAGAAGCACAAACCGAAGTAAGAAAAAAGACACCTCAAAAAAAGAACTAATCATGGGAACAGAACTGCCAGAAGATCAACACCTACATAGGAGGTAGAAGAAGTACAGAGAGTTGGAGATTGATTAAAAGTATGAGAAATAATAAGAAAAAAGACGTTATATCACCAATAACAACAAAAAAATGAGAAGAATATTTCAAAAAACAGAACAAAGACCAGAATTTACTAACATGGAAGACAACACGATAGGTATACGTATAAATTCATTACCATTACAAATAAGTCAATCAGAGATGGAATAAATAACCGAATCCCTAAAAAATGGAAAATCCCCTGGTCCCGGTGACATCCCTGCAGAATTAGTGAAAGCCGGTACAGACAAACTCCAGGAACAGTTAAGAAAACTCTTTCAAGACTGCTTGAATAGGGCTGAATTACCAAAAGAATGGAAATTATCTATCATGTCAACTATCCACAAAAAGGGCAGCAAGAATCAGTGTGAAAATTACAGAGGAATTGCGGTAAACAGCACAATAAGTAGGATGTATGGAAAAATTATTAAGAACAAAATAGAAAATGACTATAGAGATTACGAAGCAGAGGAGCAAGCTGGTTTTAGAGCTGGGCGATCCACAGTAGATCACTTGTACTCTATTACGCAAGTTATTGAGAAAGAAACCACCTATACCAGCAGAAGTCCGTTTGAAGAGGTCTACCCTCCGGATACTGGTACTCACGTAAGGCATGGTTATATGTTGCCTGAAGTAAAATCTAATAAAATATTAAACATCATTTATTTTTAACAACAATATGTACATTCTTTGGTAACTTTAATTACTGTAAAGGGTTTTACCATAATATTTTGGTGGCTTAGTCATGTTAACCTGCTTTTAACCTGATGATGGAATTATTATTCCGAAAACGTTTGTTATTTTGATGTAGCCCTTTTAAGGGTTGTTAAATATACCTACTTACAAAGATTTAAACCTATTTTTGTGATGCATGGTATACAGCCAGCTGCAGGAATTTATTTTCCTTGTGGATTTTTAATTAAATAAACAATTCACAAATTAACTAATTACATTTTTATAATCTGTGCAACCAGATACCCAAAATTAAAAAAAAAATCAAAGATTGTCAAAAAAAAGCCCTAGATAGTAAAATGCGGGACGCCAGACTAAGAGGAAGGCAACGGAAATTCTAAGAGGATGAAGTGGAACCTGGAGAAGATCAACGCGGAACCTGCAAGGTTGAAGGCGTAATTTGGAGGAGTTTAAGGCTCGATACTTGGGCTGTAGCGCCATTGGAGAGAAATGTGAACTGTTAGCTTGGTTAAAAGTACTTCAATGGGTTAAATAAGTAGAATGATGCACTAATAAACAATATATTGTATTAATAATTACCTTCTACATGATATTTTGGATCACATCGATACAATTTCCTGGATTGATATTTCAATCTGTTCTTAAAAGAGTTAAATAAAGATTCACTATGCTCTTGGTACTGTTTTCTTGCTAGCAGTGACACATCACTGAAATTGCCTAAAATAAACAAAACGAGAATTAATGTGCAATGTCAGTAATTTTTACTCTCATGCTTCATAGAACTAAATAAATTAGATTTTTCTAAAATATTTACCGTGTAGAAAACATCAATACAGGGTGTTTCAAAAAAAGGTAATGAAATTTTATACGCATATGTTTTGGAAGCTGATACATCCCATGAATTTGTTTTTATATCTGATTCTCATAGAGTGCGCTAGTTACACGGATCGTATTAAGTATTAATCAATATAACTTTTTTTAGAGTATAATTATTAATCAAAATTTCAAGTAAACTTAAACATTATTCAATTTTACACGAAAAAGGTACTCTTGGTAAAACTCGATACTGTGTACTATTTTCGGAATACTGTGTTTTCCTACTGTCAGAAATATCTGGCAGTGCTCGCCTATTACCTGAATAAAACATTATTGCTGATTTTTCCTCACCTGAGTACATTTCATTATTGCTTTTTAAACGCAACCCGTTATACATATTGTATACTATGTGAAGCCGAACTTTGACAATACTCTGGAAAATCTTTTATATTTTTGAAACATTTTCTAATCTGTTTAATTCGTAGAACAATTTTATAATTTATCTTCGATAGAGATTTCATTCCTCTACAAATGGTACCTCATAATTTTTTATGTAAAATAATTAGGAAAGAGGACTTTAACGGTTTAGAATTTCCCATTGAGTTTCCTATACCCGGTTTGACGATTCACCACCCGGTATATTAAAATAACAAATAATGAAAAATATACCAACGGTTTTGTTACCTATATCGTCTGTCCTGTGTGCCAAAAGCGCAAACTGGGATAACATGTATGCTTTCAGTTGCGCCAAAGCCACTAAATTGTAAAAGTTGTAAAATATCTGTTGAGCAGATTGATGTGGATATTGACACAAATCATAGATCTAAAAAATAATATATTTTATATTAAAATGTGAATCAAAGCCAAAGAAATATAACAAAGATTAACTAGCTAAATTTAAGGAACTTGATTTAGATTTGGGTGGTGTGCTCTCTTGACGACCACTTTTTGATAAAATGGTCACATCAATTATAAGCTGAATATTTGTGACCAGATCTGATATGTACGTTCAAAAGTAATACTTACATCATCTACATCAAACAACAATGCTTTTATCTGAGATTGGATGGACAAAATCGTTTTATTGACGTTATTCTTTTCGTCGTGGAGAATGTCATGGACAAGCGCCAACATGTTTATCTTCTTTTGATATTCTTCGACTAGGTCATCTACTTCTTCGTCTTCCTTATCAGGAGCCAAAAATTCTTTTTGAGATCTTCTAAATTTGTCATATAAATCGTAGATCACTCGTATATCAGAAAAGAATTGTAGAAAATATTGTGATTTTCTTGGAACTTGCATTCCATATAGAATATCTTGTGGTAACTGAAATTAAAACAAATATACACTCACCGGCAATGTCAGATATTTCACAATACAGGCATTTGTCATTTTCTGTCTTTCCAAATCTCTAAAGGTATGCCCTAAAACAACCATGTTCTGTGAGCATCTGCGTCAGGAAATAATCCAAACGCCGGTGCTCGTAATCCACGGGACACATAATCACCTTCACTGCATATACAAAATTGGTAAGACACATATTTTTTTATATATGTACAACATATACATATACAACATACACTCACCGGCAAAATTAACGGAACACCTTAAAATTGGGACATGTTAGATGTCTCGAATTTCCTAAACCTGTTGTCCGATTTTAGTGATTTTTTTAGTATGTTATAGGTATATTATTTAAGAATATCGATGTAATAATATTGTTGCTAGACAGGTCAATGTCATTTTATACGGGGTGTAACAATCCTACTGTGTTTTTTCCTTAAAGTTCGGAACACCCTGTGGAATATTATAGCATATATAAAATATTGAAATTAAAACTTAATTATAGCCTCAGGCTTTCTTAACATTTTCTTTTTTAATTCATTTGCTTGTGTTGGATAATAAAAAAGTTAGGTACGTTAACAAGTTGCCATGTTTTTCATCAATAAATGCTCATTTTCTTCTTAGTTTCACCAGCATATTTAAAGGAACAACCATAAAATCTGAGTATTTTCTCTCTAGTGTTTAAATAATATCATAATACGAATGTTGGTGAAGTATTTTGAATTTATATTACAATGGTAGTACAATATAAAACCTGTTTAAGAAGAAATAAAACACAAAGATGTCAGACTCAACAAAATACGGATTTTAAATGCATTAACTTTATTGTACAGTTTGAACTTAAATTGTTTTTTTATGCATTTTTTTGGCTTTAATAGCGTGTGTTTCCCCTACGAGCCCTTACAACTGCAGTTATTCGTCTTCTCATACTTCTGATAACGCCATCAATCAGTTGTTGGGCAGCCTCTCCCATTCCTTAATCTTTTGCAATTGTGACTTCTTCTCTGTTTTGAATAGCAGGAACCTGTGCCCTAAGTTTTCTGCCTAGCATGTCCCACATATCCTCTATCGGGTTTAGGTCTGGGGAACAAGCTGGCCAATTCATCGTTGTTATACCCACTTGTAATAAGAAATATCTTACACTTACACTCTTACACTATAAAATAAAATTTTCGCCAATATATGGTGAAAAAGGTACCACATGGTCTTGGAGAATATCTCTGATATACTTATCTGCTGTTAATGCTCCACCATCAATCACCACTAACTCTGTTATTGCTCCCAAACATATACCGCCCCACACCATAATTGAACCTCCACCAAAAGGTACTGTCGTAGTAAAATTGAAAGGGGCATTTCGTTCTCCTTGGCGTTAATACAATCTTTCTCTACCGTCAATGTAATTTACACAGAAACGGCTCTCGTCCGAAAAGAGAATTTGACTCCAGTGGTTATCATTCCAATTTTGATGTACTCGACCAAATTGTAGTCGTGCTAAACGATGGTGTCTCTGGAGTCTGGGAGCTTTTATTGGCACATATGACTTGAGACCGGCTTCTTTAAGTCTCTTCCTTATTGTGCGCTCAATTAAATACAAGTTTGTACTTGTTATGAACAGACAGAATGACTGTAAAATGTAAAACACAATACAAATAAACAAATTAATTTGACATTTTGACATTTAAGACTTTCTTGTGACAAGGAGCTTTCAAAGCTATGTAGATATAGTCTATAAAATACAAATATAAAGAAATATTGCATTAATAACAGGTTCCTTTAAATTTGCCGGTGTGTGCATTAAATTGTTAACTTCTCATAGCCTACTTTAGGTTGTTTTTACACTAAGTAGAAAATGAAGATTTATTGACGAAAAACATGGCTAATTGTTAACGTACCTAACTTTTTTATTATCAAACATAAGCAAATGAATCAAAAAAGAAAATGTTAAGAAAGCCTGAGGCTATAATTAAGTTTTAATTTCAATATTTTATATATGCTAGAATATTCCACAGGGTGTTCCGAACTTTAAGGAAAAAACACAGTAGAATTGTTACACCCGGTATAAAATGACATTGACCTGTCTAGCAACAATATTATTACATCGATATTCTTAAATAATATACCTACAACATACTAAAAAAATCACTAAAATCGGACAACAGGTTTAGGAAATTCGAGACATCTAACATGTCCCAATTTTAAGGTGTTCCGTTAATTTTGCCGGTGAGTGTATGTTGTATATGTATATGTTGTACATATATAAAAAAATTATGTGTCTTACCAATTTTGTATATGCAGTGAAGGTGATTATGTGTCCCGTGGATTGCGAGCACCGGCGTTTGGATTATTTCCTGACGCAGATGCTCACAGAACATGGTTGTTTTAGGGCATACCTTTAGAGATTTGGAAAGACAGAACATGACAAATGCCTGTATTGTGAAATATCTGACATTGTCTCACATACTCTATTAGTATGCGATAGATGGATAGCTGAGAGGAGCCTGCTAGAGAGAGAGCTTGGAAATAGGGTGCAATCAGTCACGGAACTGATGGAGGAGATGCTTAGGTCATCAGAATGGTGGAGAGCAGTTCACAGATATGTGAGAACATTGGAAAGAAAGGAACAAGAAGAAAGGCGACCCGAAGGTAGGCAAGGTGCCCAGGACCAAGCAAGAAGATAAGGCATAATGAACATGGAGGAATAAAGGGAGAGAAGAATTCCGCCGTAGTGAGAAACTGATATAATGCGAGAGAATTGTGCGTGAATGAAAGATCGGGTGAATGCCGTACCGATGTTGCGTCCCCATCAGGGCGATCCAGCCAATAATTTACCGTTGAGGAGGGTGTTTTTTAATAGGTAGGTCTCTGGCATTGACGACGATGGTGTCCGAACAACCCTCGCACGCGGCCTTGTATATCATCGTGGCCACGCTGGAGGAGTCCTGCATAACCGAGGCTGGAAGGCGGTTCCGCCCACCTTCTAGGACCGAGGTATTTTTCGAACATTTGGACAACCCACCCTCATAAAAGAAGAAAAAAAAGGCAGATTTAATGAGCATGGTATCATACATGCCCAAAGGTACAATGTCCATTAATAGGCCAAGGCGCTTATAGTCACCTTCTCTGTCGCTCACGTGTGCATATCCATCACCTTAGTTGCCCTGGAGAGACGAAAATACCACTGAATCTCTAAAAATTATACGAGCAAGCTGAATTTTGCCGAAACTGTAAATTTTAGGACGTTAAAAAGATGCAAGAAAGTTTACCACTTTTACTCCTGGGCTTTTATCTAAAACCTCCTATGTTGTAGAGGTTTAGTGACAGTTTCGTGTATTGTGAACGTGCATATAAGACTGCTTTATTAAATGGACCCGTTTTTTGTGAATTTGTTCTGGATAACTAACCCCTGCCAAAATTCTGAAAGTTTTCTTTTGCATTCTAAAAAATTGAAGTACATCTTTTAAATTGCTCCATATGATTAAACCGTAAATTAGGTGAGAGTGGAATAAAGAAAAATATGTTGGCTTGCTACTGGGTGAATAACAAATAATGAACGTGATAGCTTTCTCTTTAGTTGTGAGATATGAGCCGACCTGTTCAGTCGATTATCTATGGTTATTCCCAATAGTTTAACAGTGTCTTTGTTATCTGGATTATTGCGTCAATTACTTGCAGACATAACCAAATTTTGCGTTCTGTCAGAGTTAAGTTTTAGTTTGTTTGCTGCAAATATTGTGCTAGATTTAGTAGAAACTTCCTTATTGGGCATTTTTAAATCACCATTATTTTTTCCTAATATAACGTATATCGTATCATCTGCGAATTGTATGGATTTGTACAGAGATACGAATTTAGGCAAATCGTTGACATAAATAATAAACAAAAGAGGTCCTAAGACCGAACCACAGAATAATAAACAATCAGAATGAAAAAATAAGTACATCTCGTTCGCGCAGATGGAATTAGCCAGGACAAATTAACCCGGTTTAATTTATTTATGGCAACTACAGACATAATATGCACTATTTTATTCGTACGTTTAGTTAAAGAATCATCATCATCAATCAGCCAATCGCGTCCACTGCTGGACATAGGCCTCCCTCAGTTCTTTCCAGTGTTCTCTACACTGGGCCGCTTGTAGCCAGTTTCCTGCTACACGTTTCATATCATAGGTCCATCTAGTCGGTGGTCGTCCTCGGCTTCTTTTATAGTTTCTGGGCCTCCATTCCATAATACGTCTTGTCCACCATCCATCTTGTGTTCTGGCTAAGTGCCCTGCTCAGTTCCACTTAAGCGTCGTGGTTCTTTCGCTGACGTGTTGAACTCCTGATCTTTGCCTGATTTGTTGGTTTGCTATGTGGTCTCGAAGGCTCACGTTCAGCATTGCACTTTCCATAGCTCGTTGTGTAACTCTGAGTTTATTCGCAGATTTTTGCGTGAGTGTTAAAGTCTCTGCTCTATAAGTTTGTACAGGCAAAACACATTGGTTATAAGCCATTCGCTTGAGTCACATGGGAATTGAACTTTTTAGATATGGCTTAATTTGCCAAATGCTGCCCATGTCAGGCCTATTCTGTATCTGTATTTCATGTGTTTGATTGTCTCTGCTTATTTTGATCTCGTGTCCCAGATATTTGTAAGTGCCTGTTTGTTGTATGGTATTATTGTCAATAGTTATATTTCCACTTATTACAAAATTTGTTATAAGTTTAGTTTTCTCAAAGTTTATCTTCAATCCTGCTCTTTCAGACAGACTTTTAAGCGAATGCATCATGATAGAAACTGTATCATGTAAATTATCTGAGATTAATACAACATCATCTGCAAATCTTAGGTGATATAATCTTTCTCCATCTATATGTTATCTATATGTTATAGTTGAAGAATAGATTAAATTATTTCAAATATACTAAATTATTAATCTCTCAAATATTAAATTACATTTCTGTCGTAGCTTGTCACAATTTTCTCCATTCGAGTCTATGTTTCCGTCTAAAACATGGCGTTCGCGTACTGACAAACTTCAAAGGCGGCATCTGAAAATGGGCATTCTGATTGCTTATTATTCTGTGACCGAACCTTATGGAACTCCATCTTTTACGGATTGAAAATCGGTCGCGGTCGCGAAAAACTGTCAAAAATGTCGTGTGAAACGCAGTCAAAATCCTTCGACAAGTCGCAAAGAAAAATTGCTATGCGGTTTCCGGGTTCAAGCCCCTTAATCAAATCGCTCACAACAATAAATACCGCGTTCGTAGTAGAACTTCTAAATTCATATTGTGAGTTGCTAAATTAGTATTTAGTAAATAAAGTAATTTTTTGACTCAAAATATGAATAAAATTGTTGTTTGATAACCTTTTCAATCACTTTCTCAAGAGTAGAAACAATGCTTGTGGTCAAAAAATTGGCAGTTTTTGAGGAATCGCCTTTTTTATAGATATGTAGTACTTTTGATTATGTTAGTACTTCTGGAAATACTCCCGTTGATAGAATTAAATTAATAAAATGAGTGAAAGGTGTTAAAATTGTTGGTAAGTTTCTTTTAAAATTTTGCTATTAATTTCGTGAACGTCGCTACAATTAGAATTACTGAGACTTTATTTGAGAGACCTCCTCTTAAACAGAACGAAAAAAAGGACCTGCTTGGAGAAGAATAATTTCTATAATTGAAGAGGACATCGACATTAATACTAGGAAGATAGGTATTATAGATGCATATGTGTATGTAATTATATTGTCTACAATTGTAGTAAAACACTGATTTATTTCGTCTATAAGTAGATCAGATTGTACCAAACTGGATCTTGTATTGTTTCTTTCAAAATTTCTTTCAAACTTTACTATTTTCCAGAAATTTCTAGGACATTTTTGCATTTTATAATTGTCGATTATCTTCTAATTTTTATTGTTTATATACTTTGAACATATCGGGAACTTTAGTGGCATCTTCAATTTGTTTAATAAGAGAAAGGTTAGATATGTAAGAACTTAACTCGTTATTAAATAATTGCACAGGTATTTTTTTCAGCAGTTTATTGTACTTTGTATAGTACAAATTGTTTTGATTAAAAAAAACGTCAAAAAACCAGGATCATTATTGGTATCATATCATTGGTATCATAGAAAAAGTGCATCTTTGTACTAGCTAGTGCATGTTTAAACTTCTGTAAACCAGAAGAAGTAATAAACCGTTGAAATGTTTGATTGAAAAATTTGTCATAATGTTGTCAATGCCACTACTGGGCTGAGATGTGATTTTGGTACAATCGTTAATAGTTATATTTAGATCAAAAATTTTAATAGATTTAGAATAGAGAGGAAGACCAACAAAGACCTGTGGGGAGGTGCTTAAGCAAGAGATGTCGGTAAAGGGTATTGATATTAGTATGTACAATAACAAGAAAAGGGAAGCCGATATCGCATTTGAATAAAGGCAATAGATAATAATAATGCTTTGGATAATGCAATATATTGGTTTTCTTCGAGTAATAATCACTGACATGCATCGCATTTCTTGCCTTTTTATACTACATTTATTAGAAAGGAATGGGACACTGAAAAATGCCCGTACATTATAATTGACCTTTGAACATGGCCTTCAAAGTTGGTTGCTAACCAAAAATATAATTTACGTCATTATATTAAAAGTTGAATTACTAACAATATACAATTTGCATAAACATTGAAGAAAATATATTGTGGATACAATGGCATGTTAAAAATAGCATTTTGTAAAGAATTGTTAACTGAACTTAATAGAGTCAATATGGGATCAAAGGAAAGAGGAAGCTTAAGAGATATCGTCATTAATGAGCGTAAAACACGCCGTATCTCAAAATATTAAAACAGATTGTAGAATAATAAATATTTGTACAAATATTTAAATATGCTTACTTGCTGGACTTCCTGGTCAAACTCATGAAACTTCTTGACGATGTACATCGCATCATCTCCACGTTTGTCTTTCTCGTTAAGAACAATGCTCCAAAGCTCATCTTCCAAAATTAAAAAGTCTTCTCTGATCTTGTGGATTAGAAATTGACTAGAGTTTTCGCAGTGGCACAATTTGGAAAAGGAAAATATTAACAAACATATTTTTAATAATAAGTTCATGTTTACCAGAAGTTAAAATATTAGCTTTGTTGAAACAATCATGTCTTCTTTTATCTGTCTGTTTTTGAGTATGATAAAAAGCAAAAAATGTGCATCAATATACTTCGCAAATTTAGTCCAGTGAAGAAATCGTCGTTGGAAACAATTGCGATGTAATCAATACTTATATTATAACTTAAGTTATCCTGGAATTGAACGTTAAATAAACGTCAAAAAAAAAAAGATATTTTGAAGTTTTCCAAAAAAAAAATCGTTGTGCTATTGTTATAAAGTCAAAAATTAGTGTTAAATGGTCCATTGAAATGTTACATTTTTTATGCCTTAGCATACATTCCTTAGAGGACGCAATTTTATTTTTTTATATTTTAGGAGGATAAGTATAAGCTTAAGGCTTATCCTCGAAAATCCTAACGGTTAAATTCAGTGGGATATCTATTTCAAAAATTACTTTTGTTTACGAAAACAAAATCCATTCACGAAGAATATTTTAAACGTCATCTTGTACTAGAGTTTAGCTTTATACCTACTTACAACCCCTTGTGGTGAAAAGTCTTGGATCTATACAATAAAGCGAGCGGGCGGTCTTCTATTCAGTATGGTTATGGGGCAATTAGAATAATACGAGTGTATCAGAGAAATATTATTTATTCCATAATTATTTCACAACTTAGCAAGGGTACATACAGGTAACAAATAATCGTCCTGTAAATCATAAGAATCAAATCGAAGACAAACTTTTATAAAATTTTATTACAAAATAATGTATAACAAGATATTTTGAGGTCACAGTATTTGTTTTTTATGTCTTATATTTTCTTTTGTTTTTTTTTGTTACTTTTTTTACTGACAAATTGGCTTTTAACGTAGAATAAAGTTTGATAGTAAATATTCTGCAATGGAAAATGTTGAGATGTGGCGAATAAAAACATTCATGAAATTAAAATAAAAGGATTTACGTCTATTAGTAGTGCGATTTATAAAATTAGTATTTGAAGCTCAAATCGCGGGAGGAATATGTGCATCAGTTTTCAAATATTTATTATTTACTATATAATTTCTAAATTGAACCACTTTCACTTCTTTAGGTAACAATGTATCTGTTTTGACAACTAAATAGGTAATTAGACAAATTATTAAGTATTATTAATTTCAAAACAAGAGTTTAAAAAATTAGAATTCGGTAGTCCGGGTCCAGTTGAACGGTCAAGCTTATTCCAGTGGAAGCAATAAGGAGGATTATTTTTCGTTTTGGCTCAACTGACATGCTCTCTCTAGTATTACAACCCATGAAACTGTAGCATTCAATTTTGTGAGCTCGCCACCCTTGTCCCCCAGCCGCCATCTTGGTAAAGATGGGAAAAGGTTTTCGCGCTGTATCTCGTAACTAGCAATCCTACAAAAAATGTTCTCGAACATTATTTGTACAAAATTAAATTTTCTACAACTTTATTTAAATTACTTTTAATCGGTAAATGGAAAATAAAAATGGCTTAAACAAAAATAACTAAAAATTTTGGAACAAATTTTCTTTTGGGCTTTATAACTTGTTTTCTGGCAATTTTAAAATAAAATGACACAGAAATATCATAATTTTTTCATAAAATAATTTTCACTACAAATTTTTTTAATTTCATTAATTTCTCTAGATTTTACAGCCTTCCAAAGTTGACTGGGTACATGACCGGGTACTTGTGGTTATGAGTACTCACTATCTTAGGAGAAAGGGTGCAAAGGGTTTTCGCGCTATATGTATTAAAAATTTTTTTAATTTCATTAATTTTTCTTGGTTTTACAGTGCTCCAAAGTTAACTAGGTTCTTTATTACTTGTAAAATTACGTTAAAAACTAACCATTAGAATTAGTTTTCTATTATATATTTTCATATTCCATCATTTAAAATTTATTATTTTCATAACATTTCTGTTATTATTAATTTATTATCGATCCATTTCACCACCACAAACCCTAAAGCATTGATTATAAACCACTACCGGTAGTGGTTTATAATCAATGCCTAAAGGTATGAACAGCTTGCTGCGATTAATCGGTGCGTCGACGACAACATCGCATCACCGTGCGAAACTTTCGCGAGACGAACGGCCACGGCGATTAATGAGAACCGACACATTGGTGCGATGATATCTCGCAGGGACAACAATAGTTCCACAAATCACCTACCTCTAGGTACCCCTAGTAGTGTCAACCTAGTAGTTAACCCCTAGTGTTGTTACCCTTTCAATAACGTCTGCTACTCCTGATCTTTTGCGTATATTAGCATTGGGTATTCTATCACGTAGAGAAATCCCTAACATTATTCTCTCCTTTGCCCTTTCCGCAACTTGTAGTTTACTCATTGTTGTTCTTGTGAGTGTTAGGGTTTCTGCGCCGTAGGTCATCACTGGCAAAATACACTGATTAAATACTTTGCTTTTCAGACACATTGGAATCTTAGACCTAAATATCCTTTATCTTTCCAAATGCAGCCTAAGCGAGGTTTATTCTTCTTTTCAGCTCGATTGTTTGGTTGTCTCGACTTATTCTGATCTCATTCCCAAGTATTTATAGGAGTCAACTGGCTCGATATCTTTGTCTTCTACTGAGATGTTTTTGGTGTGGACTAAATTTGTCATAAATTATGTTTTTGTAAAATTTATTTTAAGACCGACTCTTTTTGTGGCAGTATGGAGTTCTTGGAACATTATCTGTGCCTGATCAAAGCTGTCTGCAATAAGAATGATATCATCTGCAAATTTAAGGTTATTTAAAAATTTTCCATCTACATTGATGCCCTTTTCGTCCCAATCTATTGTTTTATAAGCGTATTCTAGCAAAGTTGTAAATAATTTAAGAGCCATGTTGTCTCGTTGCCGAACGCCTCTTTCAATACGAAAGGTCCCAGTATCTTCATTAAGTCTTACACAGACTGTAGCATGTTGATAGATGTATCTGATGAAGGATATGTATCGGTGATCTATTCTACATTGTGTTAGAACTTTTAGCATTTCACTTTGATTGACCATACACATATTTTATTCATATAATGTATTATTGAAAATAATACATTATATGAATAAAAAAAAGTCTAATGGTTTGTTTTTATAGAAACCATTTGGAGTCTTTGTACCCAGGATTCATGTGACAAGTCTTTTGCCGATTTATAGCCTCTATAACGCATCAGCGTGCTACCGGAGGGTGGAAAATGGTGTGGAGCATTGAGCCAAAGGGTAGTGGTTCCTGACGTACTCAAACCAATCCCCTGACTCCAATGAATTGTAACACTTGTATGTCATTTTCTAATGATTGTGCATATCCGACAATCTGGGTTCGATTCTTTTGATTGCTTGTTTGCCTAGACAAAATCGGGAATAGAATAAATGTCTTAAATTGTGTATAAGAGACCTAAAAATTACATCGATCAGTAACTATGACTCCAGAAGCGAGCGCGATCAACCAGTCGATCGTGATCAAACGTTCAGTTCGGCCACCGCTTCGCTTCTTCAAATAGTTACAACTTACCGTTTCCCGTGAAGATGAAGAAAACAGTTTAATAATTGACAGGACTAACTAAAATCTTGATTTCATAAAAATGCATCTGGCGTATCTGCTATTTATTGATAACCTTGACTTGACCTAACTTTATTTATGTATCTATGTGTGAGATGCACTACTTTGTACATAATCAATAAAAGCGGTAATCGGTAATGATAGTAAATGTCATTGATCTTCGGAAAAATATTATATGTTATGCAGAGTTGGTTGTTTGTAATTTATTTGGTACAGTAACATTTCATGTGGATTACATGGGTTTTCTATTCTATTTAAGATATAAAACGTGTTCCATTAAGATAGAATTATCAGTGATTTACATAAAAACTGAGGTCCAACTCTTATCAAAAGATAAATTAAATTAAAAAAAAAAATTTGAAAAGCAAGTAATATCAAATTATTGTGATTAGTTAATATGTAAGTTATCATTCCCTTTTGACCTTATTTATATGCTATTTTGTACATTATTTTATATGTTATATTTTATATGTGTGTTATTAATGCTGAGTGTCATAGCTTCATATAAATAATCTCAATGACTATGTCTTGAAGAAGGAATTAAACAATTCCGAAAGCTAGACCAAAAGTCAAAATTTCCGGCCAAACTTTAACTGCAGCCTGATAAACTTTGTTGTTTTTTTTATATCGACAGTCACTAATATCCAGTATTTATTGGATATATATATATATATATATATATATATATATATATATATATATATATATATATATATATATGTGTTCGGATGGATTTCCGCGGTCAGATGAATGAAAATCACTAGGTTCTCGGGAAGAACCGCGTTGAGAAATTTAACGTTCGACGTTTCGGCTCCCATTTTAGAGCCATTATCAAGAGGGATACGGTTCGGTTCGAGTTCGGGGTCTCAATCTGCCTACTCCCCTCACTCGAAACGTACCAGTATCGTGTTCTGTATTATAAATACAAGAACTGTCTCTCGGCACTGAGGTCTCAATCTGCCTACTCCTCAGTGTCGAGTGACTACTCGCTGTGCGCGCGGGAACGGTATGGGCTGACGTGGTCTGAACTGACGTGGCCTGAGTGGTGTGGGCGGGAGGTCGCTGAAGTAGGGGGCGCTATGTTGCCGGCAATCGTTTCGCGTCATCGCGCGTATTTAAGCTGTTAGGCCGTTTTTCGATTTCGATAGCTTCGCGAATGATTCTTGATTTTAAGGAGCGAATGGGGGCGATGGTCTGTGCTTTTTCGAAGACTATTTTGTGGCCTGTTTGAATATGATGTTGGGCTAGTGCTGAAGTAGTATCGGAATGTTTGACTGATATAGAATGTTCGTAAATACAGTTATAGATTCGTCGGTTTGTCTGTCCGATGTATGTACGTGGGCAGCTGGAACAAGGGATCTCGTAGACACCATGGTCTTCATTTGAGTTTTGGTCTTTTACGGATCTGACAAGATTGGACAACTTGGAGTGAGTAGTGAAGATATTTTTGATGTATAGAGGAAGAAGAGTTCTACTGATTTTGTCAGTGACACCTTTGATAAAAGGTAGAAAGATTTTGGGTTGATCCGGCGGCAAGGTTTCTTTTCTGGATGGAATGGGGTTTAGATGTTTTTGAATGCTCTTATTGATTTTGGTTTTATGGTAGCCGTTTTGTAAGAGTGTTTGCCTTATTGAATTTATTTCGGATGACCTATGATTGATGTCGCTAAGTCTTATGGAACGAGAAATGAGAGTGTTGACCACTGAATTGAGTTGGGCAGGGTGATGATGTGATTAGCATTAAGATATCGGTTTGTATGAGTGGGTTTGCGGTACACGGAATAGGAAAAACTGTGAGGCAAGTTTTTCTGAATAAGGACATCAAGGAATGGCAAAGACGCGTCAGGCTCGACTTCCATCGTGAATTGGATACTAGGGTGTATTCCATCCAGGTGGGAGAGGAAGAGATCTAACGTGTCCTTACCATGAGGTCAAATGACAAAAGTGTCATCAACATACGCGGTTCTTCCCGAGAACCTAGTGATTTTCATTCAGCTGACCGCGGAAATATATCCGAACATTTTGAGTAGCAGCACACAGTAGAGTTTGCCTCTTATCCCATATGCAGCAGTATTGGATATATGCCATCTGTCCCTGGAGACCTTATATGGCCGAAACTTATTTATACCCCATCTAATTCTGTTTGGTCTTCTGATTGCTGTGGCTATTTTCCAATCTGTAGACCTTGGCCTAGTCCTCCTTTGATCTATGTTGGTTCGTCTATCTGCATCATCCAGAATGTTGAGCACGGAAAGTGCGTGTTTATCAGTTCTCTAAGACTTTCCTCTTTGGTGTCCGTAAATTTGCCATTGTCTTTCTTTAGGAAACCTATTTCCTTAGTTGTAGCACCATACTTTGCTTTTGCTAGGACTTTATGGATTCGAGAGCATGCCGGGATATCTTTAATCTCCTCGCGAAACTCTCTCCACGAATTCCTTTATTGTATAGCGTTAGATACCAAGTGGTGAATCGCAAAACAGGCCATAGGAAATTCAATGGTAAATTCTAAATTGTTGAATTCCTGCTTCCCTAATTATTTTACATCGAAAGGCATAATAAACTATTTGTAGAGGACTGAAAGCTATATTAAAAACAAATGTTAAAATTGTTCTACGAATTAAATGTATTGCAAAATTTTGTAAAAATATAATACATTTTTTAGGCGACCCATTAAAATCAGGCCACACCAGGTACCAGAATGTGTATGACATGTTGCGTTTGGTCATATTGATGATTCTGATATTTGACAATATTTGAATTGTCAATATTTTTATTTTGTTATTAAACTATACACAAATACTAAAATTATATGTTTTACTGTGATCTTTCCTAATAATAATTTATGATAATTTCTAAACATAAAACCATAACAAATGTTCAAACAATACGCCATTTTATACTAAGCAGTATCCCACTCGATTATAAAATTCTCGTCCTAACATTAGCCAGAATTTTGCACACTCTTCAATAATTTGCATTTTTAATGCTTCAATATCTGTAAATTTATTATGCCTGAATAAAACATTTTTATTACTGCTACTTTCTCCTCAACTGAATACATTTTTTAATCAACTGTATTGTTTTTTAAACAGTAAATCACTAAATAAAAATTTTTGCAATTAAAATATTATCAAATATAGGAAACATAAATAGCGCCATTTTGGTGATATTCGAAATAAACTCCAATCATATCATACAATTTGATATACTCATCACGAATTATTAGTACTGATAATTAATTACTAATATTACCAACATTAATATCTATTGAAAAAAATGCAATTTTCAATTCGAATTATAATACATATAACACTTCTTAACAATATTTTGACTGCTGTCAATAAATAAACAATATGAACTCCCTATCAAATGCATTGTCGTAGCCTACTTAGTTTCGAAAAAACAATTTTTAATCATATGAAATAACAATGGTCAAAATAGGTATCAACATTAAGAGTTTTCTGCTATTAAAAATTTTGAAAGTACCTACTGACTTATTTTTTAATTTATTTTATAATACAGGGTGTGTCAATACTATACTTACTTATGTTTATGCGTTTTTATTCATATCTCGAGTTCGATAAAAGCTATTAACATGCGGTTTGCGCCATTTTGTTACGAATTTAATCCAGTTCCATTATAATTTACAATAAATAGGTGTTTCCATTAAAAATTTTGAAGAAAAACAAATTTTAATTTTTTCTATTCGAAAGTACCCTCTATCTATGACAATTCAAACCAAATGCAATTATTTTATAGTAGATGTAAATTAATTCGTCTATACTCTTTGTAATGACACTAATTTTGTTAAAATCGGTTGATCCAAACCAAAGTTATATGTATTTATCCACAAATACTTTCCCACTCTCCCCACCCTTTATTTGAAAAAATAAAAAAAGTACTTGAACAACTTTGTGTAGAATTTATGCTTCTTTCTAGTTTACTTATTTAACACTTGGTATAATTGGACATATTTCCCAAAAAACTGGTTTTCAAAATTTTCTTCGCAGGTTACGCCCCCTAGCGGTTAATCCAGAATCTTGAAAGTTATTTCCAGCGATTTCTCTTGGCCACTTTTACTAAGGAATTTTTTCTCCTAAAGTTTTAACATGAATAGTTTCTGATATATAGCCGAGAGATCGGCTTATTGGACCACCCGGTACATCGTGTGGCTTGACTTTAAGGGATCGCCTGAAAAATGTATTATATTTTTACAAAATTTTGGAATACATTTAATTCGTAGAACAATTTTAACATTTGTTTTTAATACATATTTCAGTCCTATACAAATAGTTTCCTATGAATTTTGATGTAAAATAATTAGGGAAGCAGGAATTCAACAATTTAGAATTTCCCATTGAATTTCCTATGGCCCGTTTGACGATTCACCACCCTGTATAAAAATCAAATAATTTTTTAATCTCATATAATCTATTCAAAATTACGAATATAATTCAATATAAACCTGTAGGCATCCCAGTTTGGTTACTTTTGGCTTTGTTAAATAGGCTTCGGACTTCCGACCTCATTATCTTTAAGCCGTTGTTCCACCATTTCACCATATTACTGCCCGTACTTTTCATTGTTTTTTTTCCTTTTAGATTTCCTTATTTATTTTCTTTTATACGGCCTAGTATTCGTCCTAATACCTTTCTTTCAAAGATGTTTATGTGTTTTACAGATTTTTGAGTCAGCACATAAGTTTCACATCCATAGCTTACTATCGGTCTCTCTTTTTTATGAGAGCAGGGGTGCTGACTCTACGTACTCTCCTATTTTTTACACCTATAAGTTTTTGTAGAGATACATTTGTCTGTCGAATCGTTATCAATTTGTGTAAATACAGGTTTAAAGAAACTAATAATAAAGTTTTATCTTTTATTTCTATCACAAAAATTATAACACTAAAAATTAAACTAGAATATGGTAAATGGCTTTAACTATTTTTCATTAAATCACAGCGATAATATGCCACTAACTTAAAAAATATAGTACAGTGGGTATTTTACCGTTCCATGTGGGTTTAGAACACACTAAAAACCATTCGTGAAAAAAATTATTCAGTAATAAATTTTTCTATATTTTCTTTATAAATTTAAAAGTGATTGTTTAATAAAGATACAACTTGGCAAGACGTAGGGTTTGCTAAACTACAGTAGGTACACGAGAAGAATATCGAACAAATAAATGAGTATGTTACATACTTCAATTCAATTTTTTATATATTTTAATTATAGTAAACTTAGAGTGATGTTTTCGAAAACAAAAACAACAAAACATCACGATAGATAACATCAATGTAGAAAAGGTAGAACAATATATATATATTATATATATATAATATATATATATATATTAATATATATATAATTATATATATATATAATATATATATATATATATATTGGAATGGAATGGAATTAAAAAGAAAAGGAAAATCAAACCCTAGAAATTAAAAGAAGGACACAATTGTCGTGGGCTGCTTTTGGTAAGTTGAGCTTCATTTTAAAAGATAGAAAAATCCCAATACACTTAAAACGAAAAACCTATGACACTTGTATAGTACCAGTTGCAACTTATGGATTGAAAACTATGGTAATAACAAGAAAAATGGCAGAACAATTAAGAGTAACTCAACGGGCCATAAACATAAGCCTCAGAGACAAAATTCCTAACACCGAAATACATCTAAGAACTAAAATAACCGACATCATGGGAAAAATAGCGACATTGAGATGGCAATGGGTAGCACATGTAGAAAGACAAGACACCAACAGATGGTCTCATAAAGGGACGTTCTGGAGACCTCGAAAAACAATAAGAAGCGTGGGAAGACCCAAAAAGAGATGGATATACGATATAACAGCTGTAGCTGGAAAGCAGTGGATGAGAATTGCAAAAGATAGGAAAGCGTGGAAGGAATTGGAGGAGGCCTATGTTCAACAATGGATAAATGAAGGCTGAAGAAGAAGAAGAAAAAGAAGAAGAAACTATAGTAAAATAAATATAATCATCAGTCAAGGTTAAGGTACGTGTCCAATGACTCAGTAGATTAATTTCGATGAAAGTTTTAAGGAGAGAGTCGAAAACCCATATAAAATTCATTAACCTAAAAATTTATCGAATCTTGATTACAATTTTCATGTTTCATTGGTTGTCACCAGAAAGAAATAGAAAGAAAGCCAGTGGGAAAACGCGAGAACAGTCAAATTACGAAAATTATGTACGAATATCTTGTACATAAAACTTTAAAATTTCGTTATTTTTACTATATTTATAGTAATTTTATTTATATAAGTACTACACGTATATAAACTATTCAAAGAAGTGTGTAGTTTATAATATTTAGTATTATGATATAAACAAAATAAACAAAGAAAAAACGGAAATTGATAAATCCAGAAAATGATAATTGGATGGTCGGTTCAAAATAAAGGTGGGAATAAATTATTGGAACAGTTCCATAATATAATAAAAATAATTGAAGTAGTACAGTTTTAATATTGTTAGGAATTGAGAGTAAAACAACAATGACTATAGCTGATAATAAAATAACAATGTTGCAAAAACCATCCAAATTGTATAGAATAATTCCACATTGACATATTACAAGCATTATTAAATTTATATATTTACTGACCCAATCTCTACTCAGAAAATTAATAGCACTACTGTTCACCGAGCTGCATTATGTCTAATAATACTTTTTAAAACATAATGTGCATTTTGGTGGTAGGCTGTCAAATGTCAGATCAAATCTGTGTATATAAAATGCTTATAGACCGAGATTGCTTTATGAAAAAATGGTTGCCAATTTGAACATTTAATAATTAATTATGTTAATGCTTACTGCACATTTTAGCGCTTATTATTAAAGTATTGTACTGTGCATTCCAATGGAAGCTTGGAATCCAAGGGAATGAACTTATTTGTGAACGAAAAAATGTAAAAGTAAAGTTTTTAATAGAATAGATTATTGGATAATTTCTATGATCAGAATTTTTCCGACGTGTATATCTAAACCCACTGTTTTAATCGCACAAAAATATGGCTAAAAATTTAACCACATTGTCTAAATTGATAAATTTCTCATTGTATTGAGAAATGATTTGTTCTTAAAAAACGTTATCTTTTTCCTCTTCGGGAAATGCCGCGCGCAGATGTTTACTAAAGTTATATGATATGGTTTTGAGGGTAATAAACCCACCGAAGAATCTCCTTCCCTTGTGGAAAATACCGGCGCCACTGAGAGGTACTGGTTGTAGGGACTCGACTCTCTGAGCATCCCAAAACGGTACCGTGGTCTGCGCAGCGTCTTTGTCTATGTCTGAATGGGTAAGTTCGATGTAACTGTCTGGCGTGGACGTAGGGATCGATGGCGATGTTGTTCTTGTTGGGATGTCGGGTGACACCAGCCACACTTTTTTCCTGAAACAAAAAATAAATATTTGATGATTATTTCATTTTTGAACAAAAGTGAGTTTTTTTTGAATTAAATTTGGTTCAATCGAGGTTTTTTTTTTCTGTGAAATAGTTCCAGGAAAATTTTAAATCTGTGAAATCCTAATCTGATGGTATTAATTATTATATTAGTACATTGGTTTTACGTAAGAAAAGAAGAGGAAATATTCAAAGATCTTCTAGAAAGCAAACTAGGAAACATTACATAAAATTGGCTGCTTGTTCTTCAGCCATACTCAGAATTTTCCTACATCTAACGGTTCGTGAGAAAAATTTCCTCAAGCTTGTCCGTAGTTGCTGAAAAACTGGATAATTTTTTAATTCAATTTTTCCTCTTTTCAGGCAAAATGGGTTTAGAGAATCAGAATAAGACACGTGTTTTTAATAAGCTAGACCAAGTGCATGTACTAAAACATAAAAAAAATTTTGTTTTTTATTTTAAAATTTGGCAAAAATTTTCCAACGAGGGACCCTTGGATTTTTATCAAATTTCGTTAATCGAATATATTGACGTCAATTTTGGTCCGAGTGTCAAGTGAGTAGATATTTCTTAAATAAAATTGGCCGCTCGTTCTTTTGCCATACTCAGAATTTTCCTACATTTAACGGTTCGTGTAAAAAAATTCCACATGCATGTCTGTATTTGCTGAAAAACTGTAGAATTTTTTACTTCGATTTTTTTTATTTTCTGGCAAAATGGGGTTAAAGGATCAGAATAAGACACATGTTTGTAATAAGATGGACCGAGTGCATGTACCAAAACATCAAAAATTTTGTTTTTTACTTTAAAATTTGGTAAAAATTTTTAAAGAGGGGACCCTTGGATTTGCATCAAATTTCGTTAACAAACATTTTTGAACAAAAGTGAGTTTTTTTAATTAAATTTGGTTCAATCGAGGTTTTTCTTTTTCTGTCAAATATTCCCAGGAAAATTTTAAATCTGTGAAATCCTAATCTGATGGTATTAATTATTATATTAATACATTGGTTTTACGTAAGAAAAGAAGAGGAAATATTCAAAGATCTTCTAGGAAGCAAACTAGGGATGCCAACTAGGAAAAATATTGCAAAGCATTGCTTTTCTCGGTGGCGACTGGCGAGTACAATGATTTCTTTGTTCTTCTATAAATTCTGCAAAGCTTCTTTTTCTTCATGTGTTAAATTCTTTTTGGGTGATTTAACTGTTCTTAATATTTGTGATACATCTTGACGTATGATCTCGGCTGTTTAGTAGTCTAGGTACTGAAGAAAATTGGGAAGAAATCAAAAGAAAGTAATTGATGCACCAGAAAAATCATAGGCATAAAAAAAAACAAAAAGAGAATAGTTCAATAACGAGTGCAGAGGTCATACATAAAAGAAAAAAAGAAGAATACAAACCCCGAACATATCTAAGGAAAAATCAAGAAGAGCAGATAACCAGAGATTCAAGCAATACAGGTAATGCGTAAAACAAGAAATACGAGTACAAAGGAATAACAATACTCTAGATATTGACATCTGTCAAAACATATCCGGACACAGAATAAATAACAATCAGAATGCCCACTCTCAGGTGTCGACTTTGAAGTGTGTCAGCACGCGATCGCCACATTTTAAACGGAGACATACAGCCCTATTCTGTAACTACAAATCGAATAGAAATGAGTCAAATCGAGTAGAGGTCAGCAAGTCGGATCGGAATTTGTAGGAATCGGTATTCTGTAACTCATCTCGACTTCTACTATCGGAATGTTGTGTAGAAATTGATTTCGACATCGAAATCAATTTCGAGATCAAATTTCGACATCGAAATTGGTCTTGACGCTTGCGCATTGGTTGTTTTGACATTTATTTGTTGACTTTTTGATCTAAATTAGCGGTTGATTAATTTTTGTAGCTACTTCATTTTTTAGTCTGTGGTATTATTTATTTAGATAAAGTTTACTAAATAATTTAACTGCTCAGCAAATGTCTTTTTCTTTGCTTTCCCGCTTGCCATTTTGTATTCTTGTAACTTTTCAAACTTAACCAAAACATGTCAAAACTACTTGACGTGAAATATAATCTTCTTTTTTGATAAATTTTTCGCGAGCACTAGCCTTTCCAGTAACTTAACGTCACAGAACACTTCTTTCGCGTTTCAATGCGGGGTTGCCACCAACTTCTGAGCGCGTCAAGTAGAAGTTGACGTTTTCGATTTACACCGATTACGATGTGAGTTACAGAATGCCAATCCAAACACAAAAACGACGCGATAGATATCCAACATTCCGATTCCGAGTAATTACGATTCGACTTGTGTGATTTCTATTAGATTTGTCAAAAGTTACAGAATAGATCTGATAGACTCGGATTGAGCAATTTGTGACAAGCTACGACAGAACTCTAATTAAAATTTTTAGAGATTATTAATTTAGTAAATTTGAAATAATTTAATCTATTTTTCAACTAAAATTAGTAATAAAATAGTGCATATTATAAATTAAACCAGGTTAATTTTTCTATTCACACAAGATAAAATTTCACTGAACAGCACTGGTTCCCTTTAAAACATGGCTGATTCCGTCTGCGTGAACGAGATGCGCGTACTTATTTTGACAAGCAGAATGGGGATTGTAGAGGTAATGGATTTTGGGAACAGCTGTGACCTTGAACATTTCACATAAACTTGTGTTCTAAATAGGCATAATGTCAAAATCCAATACATTAATAATATAATTACATATCTTCGATTCTAAAATATTGTAAAAGACTTTAAAGAGTATGAGTAAGAAAAGAGATATTTAGTTATATTCTTTGTGGCATTTTCAAGGTCATAGCTGTTCCCAAAATCCATTACCTATAATTGTTTATTATTTTATGTCCGGGAGTAGACATAAATTCTGATCATGTACCAATTGTAGGTAATTTCAAAGTCAGAATGAAGAAGGTTAAAAGTAAGTCAATGAAGAAGTATAATCTTAAAAAACTGAAAGATCCCAATGTTCGACTGAAGGTGAGTGAAAACCTCAATACAAATTATGTCTTAAATGTTACGTGTACTCAGTGCTTCTGTACGGAGTAGAAACGTGGACATTGAAGGCGGAAACTCTATCAAAACTTCAGGCTTTTGAGTTATGGTTATACAGAAGGATCCTAAAGATACCATGGACAGACAAAGTCACCAATGGAGAAGTACTACAAAGGATGAACACAACCTTGGATTTCGTCAACATGGTGAAGGGCGTAAGCTGCAGTACTTGGGACATAACATCAGAAATCAAGGCAGATATGAGCTACTCCAATGCATTTTGCAAGGTAAAATTGAAGGAAAAAGGAAGAATATCCTGACTTGCTAACCTGAGAGCATAGTTTAGAAAGACCTCAACACAGCTATTCCGTATAGCAACCAAAAAAGTCATCATAGCCAGAATGATCGCCAACGTTCTGAAAGGAGAGGTACCCTAAGAAGAAGATATTGACAACGTCCCCTCTGATTATATGGCAAACATATAGTAGGACAAATCCATGCACTCATAAACAAGATTTGGAATGATGAAAAGACCTCTAGCGACTGAAAACCCGGGATTATATGCCCGATATATAAGATAAACTGAAATGCGAGAATTATCACGGCGGAACCCTCTTGTACGCTGCGTACAAAGTTTTTACTCAACAAACGACTCCAACAATTTTACTCAACAACTAAAAATATTGTTGCCGGATATCAAACCAGTTTTCGATAAGGAAAATCTATATATGACCAACTATTAACAGTGAAACAAATTCTAAACAAATCGTGGGAATACGATATTGACGTCCATAACATCTTCATAGATTTAAAACAGATCTACGACTCATTTAATAAACACAGGTTATATCAAATATTGCATAGCCTTAACGTCCCTCAAAAATACATCCGACTAGAAAGGCAATAATGGATTCGTCAACAGCAACTGTAAAAAACATAAAATGAGCTCACTGATAACTTTACAATAGTCAAATAATTAACGTGAGGAGACTAGCTGACACCGACACTATTTAACCTGTCTCTTGAATATGTAATAAGATAAAAATATTGTTCAATATAAAAATTACCACCTATGCCGATGACATTAGCATTATGTCTCGCAGAACTGAAGAGGCAGCAGAAATATATTCACAATTAAACGCAGAGGCAAAAAAAGACTAGAAATAAATATTCAATGACAAGAAAGCTAACACATGTGAGAGATATGAGGAATCAGACACACAGTTGAATTAGAGGACGATATTGAAACAATAGAAAGTTTCACATATCTAGAAGTTGCATTAAGTACGGATGGAACAGAAAAACCAGAAATTCAAAGAATAGTAAAGGGAAACAAAGCTTATTTTTTACTCGACCATCTGTACCGATGCAAAACACACACTGGTGGTCGAAAATCAGGGTCTACAAAACTATTGGGTCTATCAAACCAATAGTATGTTATATCCATAACAGGATATAACATACTATTGGGTGATAGAATAGTTCCATCACACATGTTGGAGTTGTTAAATAGTGTTGATTTAATGCGTCCTGATGCAGATGAGATCTTTCAGTTCTCATTTAGCGCTATATCTACATCTTTTGGTAACTTTTTTGTCAAAGAGTGCAGAGAGAATTGAAATATCCATTTTCTTTCTTCAACTATTTTAATAAAAATTAAAATTAACGGTCAATTATAAAAATGCTGCCCCAATATAAGTTAACTAGATGTATGAACTTACTACGTTATGAAAATTACCTAGCATTAGGGTGAATATCTTCGTTAATTTAAATTTTAAAAGCGAGTCCACTATTCTACTATAAAAGCAGTGCAAATGAAACAATATTTATACTGATAGTAAGAAGTACTTGATTTAATAATTAAGGAAATTAAATCAATTTTACAGCCAAAAATGACAGCGAGACGTCACCTTAATGCGGCATATTTCGATACGAATATAATACGCCATATTAGCGTGACGTCACATGGTTCTTTATTTAGGGTATGGTGATTCTAAACAAACCGTAGACAGTATTATATGGCTATAAAACAAACTGATCGTGTTATTATGTTTTCATTATATTTATTTAATATAGTTTTTATCATAGATATACAGTAATGAGGGACTGAGGGTAATAAGGTGTGAGACTATCGATAGTGGTAATGTAATGTAATTTATAGGTTTGTATCGATTATTTCCCACCTCTACGAGTTTCATCTCTTCTTATTTTACAAGGTAACTGTGTTTTCTATCTCTTACGTTAAAAAGCCGGGTGGTAAGGCACTCATCCCTGTATAATACAAATAGACTAAGTGCTAGTGTGAGTTCTTCAACCTAAAAATGATAAACATTCACTGTCCAACAGAAGCACAAAAACAACATACAAAGGCAAGCTATTACCAACAGCTGGAAATAGTATATTAAAATGCGCCCAAAAATGACATAAAAATTATAATGGGTGATATGAATGCTAAAATAGATAAGGTGTCGCAGTTCTATGGCACAACAGGAAAACACCCACTGCACAATGAAACAAGCAAGAATGGGGAGTTTTTGATAAATTTTGCCATCAGTAAAAACAAGTTTCACATACTTCCCACATAAATACATTCACAAAATGACATGGATTTCACCAGATATAACCACAATCAATCAAATCGACCATGTGCTGATAGAAAAAAGGACAGCCAGAAGTATCTCAGATATGAGAACACGGCGAAGAGCATGATGTGAATCAGACCATCTTTTACTCCAAACCAAATTTAGATGCAGAGTTAACAAAGAAAGAAACAAAAGACAACAAAGAAGAAAAAAACTGGGCGTGGAAAAACTACAGACCCTGTATTGTAGCATGTATTATTTATATTGTTTTCTATTGTTCTAATTGTCGAGGTTTATCGACCACGTGACCTTAATAACCAATGATAAGGTCACGTGTTCGATAAACCCGTCCCAGTAGAAAGAGCTCAATGTGCAGGGACTGCTTCACGTCAGTTTTCTCTGTCGCACTGGGGGAACGCGATTGTATGGCAGCAGTCAGTCTATTTGTATAATATATCTATGAACCGAACCTAACCTAAATTTCAAATAAATTTACAAAAACGCCTATAAAAAGAGCAGATACTTTGGTTTGTTTAGAATGAAGACCTTAGCAAAACATGGCGCCCTGACGTTACTGATAATATGTCGTATAAAAATCACAGAGATAGAAAATGACTCAGTTAGAATCGAGAGATGAATCTGGTGCGAATGAACTATCTACTCTAGAAGCATTTACTCACTTCCGCTTCTGATATCCCCTTTTCCTAACAAAAGAACAAAATTATAAAAAACATTGCATGTTAGTGCCGATTACGTGAAAGAGACTCACCTGGGGTTTTTGGTGGCCGAATCAGTATTTGCGTTATCTTTCCAGATGCTTGTGCTCGTAGGGTTGATCAGTTTTCCCGTGTCGAAATCGAACTTTGTGCAGTATATTTCGAAATTAAGGTGAGAACCAATTTCTTTAAATCGTACACCTGCAAAAGAAATATAACATTAGTTCGATGATGGAAACTAACAAATAATATAATCATTACGATTTACCTGTAAATACATATCCATCGTCAGCTTCTAAATCATCCAGATCAACTGCTCTCTTTTCCCAACTGAAAGTATGATAGTCTTGTCCACTATAGATTTTCCTGTCGGTTATTTTATAATCTTCAACTGGTACCCATCGTACGGTAGCGGCATCAATGTTACCTCTTGGTAGAAGTTTACCTTCCTGTATTTGTACGTGGAGGATACGATTTTTCTTTATAAATCTTAAGCCGACCACCACCCTAAAAATATTATTCTTGTTGAAAAAAAAATTGTAAAGAAATTCGTGGAAAAGAAAAAGCAAAATAACAAACGATAGCAATACGTTTTATACTAATTTATTTTGCAACAAGCTCAAATATAACAAAGCATCAGGTCCAGATATGATAACAGCAGAAATGCTTAAAGCCACAGAAGAAACTGGCGTAAAGTTACTTCATCTACTCTGTAACCAAATATGGCATTCCAAACAATGGCCTGAAGACTGGACAAAATCTACAATAACGACCATACATAAAAAAGGCAGCTTCCATAAATGCGACAATTATAGAACTATCTCTATTATATCCCATGCCAGCATGATAATGCTACATATAATCAATGAGAGACTGAAAACATTCCTCCAAAGAGAAATTCCACAAGAGCAAATTGGATTTACCAAAGGTAGAGGCACTCGAGAACCTGCTGAATATAAGACAGATAATCGAGAAATCTAGGGAATTCAACATCCCACTATATATCTGTTTTATAGATTACCATAAAGCGTTCGACAGGGTCAAGTGGAGACGCTTATGGCGAATACTAAAAGAAGTAGGCGTACCACAACATCTAATTACGCTTATAACTGAACTATATGAACACACTACTGGATCAGTTAAAGTACTTGACCACTTTCGAACGAGTTTCATCCAGAACGGGGTGTCAGACAAGGATGTATACTATCTCCACAATAATTCAACATATATGGGGAGTATATTATGCGAAGAGCACTTGAAGGATGGGAAAAGGGCATCCCAATAAATGGTCATAAACTAAACAACCTACGTTTCGCAGATGACACAGCCCTTCTTGCAAATAGTCAAGCAGAGTTGATGGAACTTATACGACTGATCGAAAACGAAAGTCAAATATTTGATCTGCAATTAAACATATCAAAGACAAAGATCATGATAGTGGATAGACTACACAACAAACATCCACACATAACCACAATTGACCGGTTCGAGGTTGTGAGCTCATACTTATATCTGGGATCATTAATCACAAACACAGGGTCATTACAAGAAAAGATTAAACGTAGATGTGATGTAGCAAAAGTTGCCACAGCAAAAATGACCAAAATATGGAAGGAATGTCAAATTTCAAGAGCGATAAAGATGAGGTTGATCAACTGCTTAATATTCCCAATACTGACCTACGGATGTGAATCTTGGACTCTGAGACAATTGGAGAGAAAAAAGATAGACGCCACTGAAATGTTCTGTTGGAGACGAATGTTACGAATTCCTTGGACCGACCGTAGAACAAATAATTCAATTTTAAGAGAGCTAAAAGTTAGCCAACGACTCTCTAGTAAAGTCCATCTCCAACAATTAAAATATTTTGGGCATGTTATGAGAGCAAACACAGAAAACATGGAAAGACTCATAATACAAGGAAAGGTAGAAGGCCGAAGATCACGAGGAAGATCCCTAACAAGATGGATAGATCAAATTACAGGAATATGCCAAAGACCTATGCATGAATTAAAAGAAATGACCAGAGACAGAGATCTCTGGAGACGCACAATACACGACATCACGTCGACCACTACACTCCCCCTGGGGGGTCAGGATTGAAGAGAGAGAGAGACTCATCATTATTTAAAGTTGGCAACAACTGGTAGTAAAGCTATTACATTGCTGACAATAAAGATAATTGGGTTTCAAAGATAGAAATTGTTATAATTTTAACAACTATACGTAAAAAATTTCATATTAACTTACATATTGTCAGAAATATTTGCAATTGCTGGTCTCATATTAACGTATCTGTCGGAGGCGCTTCCTTGTTCGTCACAGAGGCAGAAGCAGTAAGAACAATGCCAGAACAGCCATCTCCACCAGCTGTCAACTTTCGTAGTGCCTCTACTGCATCCTTGTTTTCTTCCCAAGACTTTTCCATTCTCGTATTCGATATATTCATAGCGTCTACCACTCAAAGGATCCTAAATTAAATATAAAATAATATAGATCAATCAAGTTAGTAAAAAAAAAAGCTTTCTTCGTTACAACTGTATAGACGCGATTGATGGTTGAAAACTTTTTTATTGTTTAATTAAAATTTGTTTAGGCCATATCAAGAATTCAACAAAATAACTTAGAGGTGTAACACGAAACGATAGAAATGGTAGAAGAATTCTGCTACTTAGGATCACTGGTAGACTACAAAAATAACACATCCAACGAGATAAAGAAAGATAAAGAAAAAAAGAATATGCATGGCTAACCGGTGTTATTTCGGCCTGGGCCCTCAACTAAGAGCGAGAAGTATGTCAATAGCAACAAAGTGTAAACTTTATAAAACAATAATACGCCCAGTGCTCACATACGGGTCGGATACATGGGCAATGACGACCCGAGATGAAGAGTTACTACGAGTCTTTGAAAGAAAAGTATTGAGAACCATATATGGCGAAGTAAACGAACAGGGTCTGTGGAGAAAGCGATATAACTTTGAACTCTATAGACTTTTTGGTGATGCAGATATTGTGAAGACCATCAAAATAAACCGCCTAAGGTGAGTGGGCCACGTTAAGCGGATGGATGAGAGTGATCCCACTAAAATAACTATGCTAAACAAGCCGGTCAAAAGAAGAAGAAGGGGGCGACCTAAACTCAGATACCGGGACGATGTACAGGAAGATCTGAGAGAGATTGGAGTGAGGGGCTGGAGAAGACAGACACTCGATAGGGAAGGATGGAAGAATGTTTTGAAGCAGGCCAAGGCTCACGAAGGGCTGTAGCGCCAACTGATGATGGTGAAAATTTGTTTAAACGTATCTGAACTTAAGGGAGGAGAAGGGAGAACCAAGGAACTTCTTGGTGAAAGAAATAAAAATAAAAATAAATTATTCCCAAGGCGAAGAACTCCATGGTTTTGTACAGAAGTGAAAAAGAATTATTATTTATTCTACCACTTAAGAATTATTAATTATACCACTGTATAGCATTTTTATAGTCTTTTCAATGATATATCACAAGTAGAGGTTTGCGATTTAAACTTTTTTGGTTGTGGTGTGTGGGGCCTCGGGGGTTGATGGGGGTGAGTTCTCTTTCATGTCATAGTTCCCCCTTACTATCCTAGAAAAGGTTTCAAGCATTTTTCAATTAAAATTTACTCACTGTACATGTATATTATTTTATTATTATTTGTGTTTTTTACCAGCTTTCCGAATATTTTTTAAATGTAATTTTTTTCTACTTTTTTCCATAAGTTATTACAATACGTCTTAATAAAAAATAGCTCCAGATTTTTGATGTCCTTTCAATTAAATTATCTGGACGAGCCTTAGAAAACTTATTTTTCCAAATATATACAAATATAAACAAATTAAATTTTGGAAAAACTATTTAATCAATCTGGCCCATCTTTTGCATACAATTCAAACACAATAAAAAAGTTATTGAGAATATTCAAGAACAGCAATTTTGTTGTTCATTTTACAATAAGCGATTTTTTTGTTTATTAATCAATTTTAATTTAGGATATCTCATTTTAGCGACGGGTAGTTTAATGACAACAAATGCATTATTCTCTATTCAAATTAGTTTTGTCGGGAATACCTTTTTTGATTGATTATCGTAGATGTGTTAAAAAGAATTATAACATTTTTAATTTATATGTCTTAGCTAAATATAATATGCGTACCTCGGAGGTAAAGGACACTATGTCCATTTTTATGGAAATTTAGACTATTGCACTTTTGAATATAACTTTTCTGGCTCTACACATAGGTAAACCATACTATGTCCAGAGACAATTTTACGGCAAGTTACCGACTTTTTAATAAACACCAAGTCCACTTCCAGTCAGAGGTAAACAACACCATGTGGACTTGGTGTTGTTTACCTCTAGTAAATGTGTGCATCGTCATTTACCATCCGGACATAGTGTTATGTACCCTTGTACCTGGCGGAATTATCATGATCTAAAATCATTGCAACCTTTTTATTTAGATCGCAATTGTGTTAAGCCGGCCACTCACGGTACAGCGGCGTTGTTCAACTTCGTCGAGTTCGACGAATTGACAAGGATTTTGATCGTGTGTGACCGTGCATCCAACAAAATCGTACAATTTGATCGCAGACAGACTGGCCTGTCTGTGGCAGTACTGCAGAGTTGATTTCATCAATTTGTTGAGCGTGTGTGACCGTGGTACAGCGGCGTTGTTCAACTTCGTCGAGTTCGACAAATTGACAAGGATTTTGATCGTGTGTGACCGTGCATCCAACGAAATCGTACAATTTGACCGCAGACAGACTGGCCTGTCTGCGGCAGTACTGCAGAGTTGATTTCATCAATTTTTTTGAACAGCCAATCGCGTTTACGACCAAAATCCGCCATTTTGAAGGCGGCAATTCAAATATTTACAAAATTGATAAAAAATATTCATTAATCCAATTAATTCAGATTTAAAATGATCTGAACAGATTCTTACTAAAATAATTTTTAAAATTAATTTAAAAAATTAATATTATTCATTAATCCAATTAATTCAGATTTAAAATTATCTGAACAGACTCTTGCTAAAATAATTTTTTTAAAATCGAAACAAAACAAAAAACATCTACTTTTAAATTACAATACATTGCATACAAGTAAGGTTAAAAAAATGCAAAACACTTAGCTGGACGGACGTAAACAAAGCAGACGTCGCGCATGTAGAGGTGGTTGATCCAAGTATTTTGTGGATCAGGTTTAACTTATACGCGTATACAAAAATTCCTGTTAAAAAATACTTGTGTGGAAATCAGTTTGTTATCATTCGTTTAATAGATATCTAAACATAACGTTAACATTATTTGTATTTTGTTAGATTTCTTTATAGTTATTAAAATGACTGTTTAACTTCAAATACCTAAATTACTGTTATTACATTACATTAATAATACATCTGTTGATATTTATCTAAAGCTTTGTAAACGTTAAGAAATGCACGATAAAAATTAAGGACAAATGCAATGAAACAATTAAATTATTTATTTTTTATGTATATTTGTCATCGATATTTGTTGAATAATCCACTGATCGACAAGCTTATAATTTCCTGACGAATATGAATAACAACAAATGAATACGCATAACATGATTATAATAAATTTTAGCAATACTACATGAACAAGTAGAAAATAAATATTTGCAAATAAAATTTTAAATATTTAATAATATATTTATTTTTGGCAATGGTGATTTTATAGATATGGATGAATCAATTTGGCAATGTCAACTTGTTTGTGGTAAGCCCATGATTTTGTGGGAATAACTAGAAAATTATTTGTATTGCTGAGAAATTAATTAATTTCTGTTTCGAAATCTTAGTACATATATATATATATATATATATATATATATATATATATATATATATATATATATATATATATATATATATATATATATATTGTTTGAGTTTAGTTCTTGAACCTTAATATATATTTTAGGGGATTTTCTTGGGCTTAGGTTCATAAAAAAAAAATTGATTTGACACTACGACATTTTCATATATTATATTTCCGACGTTTCGGAAGGAAATCCATGCCTTTTTCAAGAAATAATATTGACTAAAAAAACATTTCATGACAGACATAATACGGTTTAAAAGTTAAATTTTTGACTTACCAAGCATGTAAAATACAGTACTAACAAGTACACGTCACAATTAAAGTAATATTAATAGGACATACCCACTAAGTCACTACATGTAAAATGTATTTTAAATCTTATGTGTTTATTGATGTTGGTTTATCGTTTAAACAATCAGTTATTTTAACATAGGCGTTCTGAGATTGTTTTTTATGTGTTTTTAAATTAAGTTAAAATATATTTTGTTTAAATTTTTGACATCTTTTTTATCATTTATGGCGTTGTTATTTTTTTTATTTGTATAGACTCTAGAAGCTCTCTCTTCTTCTTGTTGGGTTCACTTTTTAGGATCTTGGTTTTCTCAAAATCAAATTTATGTTTTTTTTCGTTTTCATGTTTTGTGAGGGCAGTTGAGTTTTTTTGTCATATTTGTGGGAACGTATTCTTGAGTTAAGTAGCTGACTGGTTTGTCCAATATAAACTCCATCACAATTCGAGCAGGGAATTCCATATACAACATGCGATCTTTTTAATAGAGGGTTTTTGTTTGACAAAACAAATGAGTACAGTACCCGTACCATGAACGTATAAATAAAGATCTTCATTTATACGTCCATGACCCGTACTCGTTTATATTGGTGATAGGGATCAGTTCCACAAGTATAAATAAAATACATGTTTCAAAGTAACTGGTACGGGATTAGGTCACCATCCCTACACGCATGTGACGTATTGAAAAGATGGTGGATTTTGGTCGGCGCAGCGATGTGCAAAAACGAGTTCACCTAGTGAGCATACCTTGTTTCCTTATATCATGCTACACACTTGCTTTAATCATATTAGAAAATCGACATGGCTTCATTTAGCGAGAATTTTTTAAGAGAGTTTTTTGAATTATATAAAGAACAAGAATGTTTATGGCGAATTAAAAGTAAAACGTATCACGATAGAAACGCCCGAAAACAGGCAATGGACATTTTAATATTAAAGTTCCAAGAAGTAAACAAAGATGCCAATGAAGAGTAGTTATGTAAGAAAAAAAATTAACAATTTTAGAACATCCTATAAAAGAGAACTAAAATTAGTATTGCAATCAAGTAAATCGGATGCATGGACAGACGAGATTTATAAACCTAAATTGTGGTATTTTCCGTTGCTCTCATTTTTAAATGATCAGGATGTACCCCGAAGAGCTATTTCAAATCTATCTGTTGATGACTCAGTGCATCCCTTTTCATAAGCCATTCTTTGCACCAAAATCTACGTTTCATTTTAGGTTTGTTTTTACGCTTTGTTATACACAAAGCAAGAGACGCTAAAATGATTGTTTGATCTGACATGGTCGAGAACCGAACAAATACT